ATCCAGATAATCACTGATTATCTTTATTGTTAATTTATTAAAATCCCTACAAGGTCCACATTGAGTTGATTTGTCTTTAAATCTCTGTAATATGTACTCATAAGCTTTCCCTACCTCTTTTTTATTTTCTTTTTCCCTTGCAGCTTATTTGTAGAAGAAAAGGATTCACTTGTCCTGTCGTGTTGCGCCTTTCTAGATGTTGCTGCTTGCGCCCTGCGGTCTTGCTCGCCAAGGTTAACATTGTTCTTTGTCCTGTACCTTTGCAGACAGGAGAGAGATACCAAGGTGTGTTCAGATTCAGGTTTCACTGTTTTGGCACACATGCGTTACAGGTTGTGATGCACTCATGTTATTGCATCGTGCCAGGAGGCACATGGTCAGACCTGGAATCCTCTGATCTTTATTTATACAGATCGGATTGAGGAGGAAGAAGAGATGGAACAGCTGGAGAAAGGGCCCCGGAAGTGCTTGTACACCCAGCGAATGAAATGCTAGGCTTTTTCCTTCAGAGCTACTCATTTGCCTGGTCATACTCCTCTTGGTGGCATTCATAACCCATTCCCAAGCAGCTTCTGTAGGGTTCGTGGGTGTTTGCGTAGCTCTGGGGGTTGCTGCTCAGGGTGGCTCGTGTGGAGGAGAGGGTGCAGGGTACTTGCAGCCAGATCTGGCTCGATGGTCCTGAGCTCGGTGGTAACAGTCGCTGGCTTTTAAACCATGCAGACGCTCGTTTTCCTTCGTTGTCTAACAAAGCACGTGTCTCTTTACCTCCTTGTTGAACCTTGTCTCTTTTTTCCTCAGCGGCTCTTGGTGAATTAAAATCTAGGCTTTGGAGGAGGGCTATTTCTTGAAACTTATTTATTTTGATTAGGTTGTTAAGTCAGGTGGTTTAATATTTAGAAAGTACAAAGGAGCACGTAGTGAAAAGTTACGTTTTGATTTAGGGAAAAATTAATTATAGAAATTTTGCAATAATACTTTTATCATTAAGAATAGTTTACGATATGCTCTAGCTGGTGTGACTCAGTGGATTGTGTGTCAGCCAGAGAACCAAAGGGTCACTGGTTCAATTTCCAGTGAGGACACATGCCTGGGTTGCGGGCCAGGTCCCCAGTTAGGGGCACACAAGAGGCAACCGCACATTGATGGTTTTCTCCCTCTCTTTTTCTCTCCCTTTCTTTTTCTCTCCCTTCCCCTCTCTCTAAAAATAAATAAGTAAAATCTTTAAAAATATAAATTCATTAATAATTTAAGATGTGGCATAATATTATGTAGAAACCAGACATTTCTAAGCATCATGAAGCAGCAGTGAAGCACTTGTAAAACTCTGATGTGGCAAGAAACTTTCAATATTAGCCCATTCATAAGCTAAAGCTCTCTAACAAGCAAACTGTAGATTTTGAACCCAGAAGCTGAGGATTCGTTCAAAGAATGCTGGGTGATAAGGAGCTGGTTTAGACCTGGATCCTCTTTATGAAGGAAAGGGGAAACCTGTGTCTGAACTAAGTGTGCATGAGAATTTTATATGCTGTATCTAATCATTTTTAAATTGCTACTGCACTTGGCCACATTCCACCCGACGCCAGCAGGAATTCACAGCCAGTCCTCGCAAGTTGGAATGTTTGATAATGAGTTTGTCTGTGACATTGAAAGGCTATCAGGTTCTGTTCTTTCTCCTCCCCGGAACAGTTCGCTCTGCAAGGCCAGAACCAGGAGAGAGAAATGCAACAGCTGGCAGCAAGTTCCCACCGCTCAGCAGATCAAGTTCAAACCCCTTGGCCTAACACGCAAGGCCTGCCCTCGATGCTCTGGCTCTGGCTTATCTGCCTGCTCACTAACAGCCTGGCCGCCAGCTATTCCTCCTAGAGGTCACGCAATACATTTTCTTGTGAAATGGAAACAAAGCCAAAGGCCTTAAGCCCAGGAGGACATCAAAGGTCATTATCAAAACCAGTTCAGAGGACCCAGCAAAACACCAAGTTGAAGCGTGCTCACCCAGCCCCAAGTGTAGCTGGTGTGCAGGCCGTGGCGCAGCTTGGGGGGTGTGCCATCTAGCAGGTGTCCCTCTCAGGGAGTCTGCTGTCTGGACACCTGCTCCTTTGGGAGGAGGAATTTGATGGCCTCGCTTTTTAGGGCCGTGAGATCGGAGGAAGGTGACTAGTATTAGGTGACAATGCCACAGAAGTGTTAGCTCTTTGGAGGGGTGGGGAGGCGGGGAGGAATGATCTGTCTTAAGGAAAACAGATTGCCGAGCGCCCCTCCGTGGTGCTCCGCGTGGACGTGCGGGAGGAGGGCGGCGAATCCGGGAGGGCAGTTAGTCTGACATGCAGCTCCGCTCTGGAGCGTCTCTTTAGTTCTCGCGTCTTCTGGACACACGAGCCACGGCCCCTTGCGTCCTCAGTAGCTGTAACATGCCCCTGAGCTTCTTGTCCCCCTCCCCAAACTCCGCCACCCCTAGGAAGCCTTTTGGAAAAGGCCTGCTGTGGATCCAGAGGGGACGGAGAGGGGCCTGTGGTGGTGTCCCCTCTTGCCCGTGTCAAAGGTATTGCAGGGTCCATCCTGACTGTTCCTTGTCTGGTGCTCCCTTGGCTGTTCTTCCTTTGCTCTTCAGAAGCAGAGGTTATCTGCCTGAAACCTTCAGTGGCTCTCAGCGTGAAGGCTCAGGAAGGGCCTCCGCTGCTGCTGCAGAGGAGTGAACGGCCCTGGGTGAGCCTGAGAGTGTGTGCGCACGCACGTGTCCGTGCCCACCTGCCCCCACCGCCCTCCACTCTGGCCGTGGCCACACTGGCGCTGCCCGCCGCCCCCACCACCCGCCCCTCACCCAGACACGGCAGTGGGGCGTAGGTGCCAGGAAGAAGAGGCCTGGGGAGTTGTCTCTTGGCTTCTGTGCCAACTTCTAGAAAGGGTCCTGGGCCCACCCTAAGTCTGCCTTGGAAGGGGGTCCTGGGAAGGACAGGGAGGTGGTTGTTGGGTCGGATGGCCCTACTGCTGCCTTCCTTCCTCACTTGGAATTAGCCCATGTCGAACCGCATGTATTTTCCTAATCGCTCTGCCTTGTTTCAAGTCTGTTCCTCTCGTTTGTGCTCCTGTAGCTGCTCAGAATGTTCTTTCTTTCCTCCTTCGCTAGCTGGCGCCTACCTCTTCCGTTAGGTGAAGCCCAGGTCTCACCTTTCCCGAGGAAGCACCCTCATGCCCAGCCCTAGGTGCAGCGGGGAGAGCTGCCCTTTGCCTGGGTGTTGCCACTAGGCCCTTGCCCCCCCTGTGCTGTGCTTACCCATGTGGGCCACTCCGTTGTGCCCTGGTCCTGGGCCTGGTGCGTGGCAGATGCTCACACGTGTGTCGGCTGAACTAAACGCAGGCATGGGGGGACCGCAGCGGCTGTTTGGTGGCGGTCTCGTGGCAAGGTTCAGAACAAAGATGCGCTCTGCAGTCTCATGCGGGGTGTTTGTAATGACACAAAACGCAGTTTTCATGTCATTCTAAAAACAGTTCGTTTTATCATTTTTAAAAATTGAAAAACTTAACACAGCAGTTCACAGTCAATAGTCTATTAGTTTCAGGTGCACAGCATAGCGGTTAGACATTTACGTACTTGTGAGGTGACCCCCTTGGTGAGCCTAGTGCCACCCAGCACCTGCATGGTTATTGCAGTGTTACTGGCTGTGTCCCCTAAGCTGTGCGCCCTGTCCCGCGACTGCCTTCTGACTGCCAATTTGTACCGCTTCATCCCTTCACCTTTTGCACCCGGTCCCCCAAGCCCCTCCCATCTGGCAACTGTCAGTTTGTTCTCTGTATCTATGACTTTGTTTCAACTTTGTTTATTCATTTATTTTGTTTTTCAGATTCCACATATAAGTGAAATCTTACGGTATTAGTCTTTCTCTGTCTGACTTATTTCACTTAGTATAATATCTTCTAGGTCCATCGATGTTGTCACAAATGGTAAGATTTCATTCTTTTTTATGGCTGAGCAATATTCCATTGTAGAAATGAGCCACATCTTTATCCAGTTGTCTATGAATAGACACTTAGGCTGCCTCCACATCTTGGCTATTGCAAATAACACTGCAGTGTACATAGAGGAACATATATCTTTTCAAATTAGTGTTTTGGGTTTCTTTGGATAAATAGCCAGAATTGGGATTTGCTGGGTCATAAGGTATTTTAGTTTTAACTTTCTTGAGGAATGTGCATACTATTTTCCACAGCAGCTGCGCCATCTGCATTCCCACCAATAGTGCGCGAGGGTTTACTTTTCTCCACGTCCTCGCCAACACGTGTTTGTGGATCGATTGATGGTAGCCGTTCTGACAGGTGTGAGGTGTATAATTTGCATTTCTCTGATGATTAGTGCCTGAAGCATCTTTCATATGTCTGTTGGCCATCGGTGTGTCCTCTGGAGAACTGTCTGTTCAGGTCCTCTGCCCATTTTTTAATCGGATTGTCTAGAAAACAAACTTCTCAAAGGGGAGGAGGCGCAGAAACCTTCCTTGGGACGCCTACGACAGCGCTTGCTGTGCCGTGAGCCCCCGTTGTGTGGGGCGGCTGGGGGATGGAATGCGTGGGCGCTGTGAGACCCTGAAGGGGAGCGCTCTCCTGGCTGGCCGGTGAGACCTGCTTGCAGTCACACAAGTGAGTGTGAGCTACATTTGGCACCCAGCCGTCCCTTTCTGAGCAGTCCGAAGCCATGAAGCTTCCTTACTGTAGTCACAAAATTATGGGAAGGCTGTTGGCTCTCAGTTTGTGCGAGCCCTCTCTGGGCCGGGCACGGTGCTCGGCGTGCGCACTGTGTAGTCCTCACAGTAGCTCTGCAGCGCGGGCATCGCCATCCCCACGCCCTGGGCAGAGCCGCGGAGGCTCAGAGAGGTGCCAGAGCCCCAGCTAAGAAACTGCGGCGCTGAAACTTGAACCCAGGTGTGTCTGGCCTCAGACCTCACCAACTGCCCCCCCCCCACCCCGCATCAAAGATGGTCCTTGGCACCTCTTTGCCCTTGTCTTTTCAGACCCATCCCTGGAGGACATGTGTGGCACGGAGTGTGCCCCGCTGGGGGAAGACGGGCAGCGGCCGCCGCGGTGCACTTCAACTACCTCATCTCAGTCTGAGCCTTCAGAGCAGCTTAGGCGCCCCCAAGGCAAGAGCCTAGCCTCCGAGGACCCCAAAAAGAAGAGAGCTCAGAAGCCCTCCCACATGAGGAGGAACATACGGTGCGCTGCGTGGGCTGCGGGGCTGGGGAGGGGCCGCCTGCGCTGAGGGCTGCCAGCGGCGGGAGGGCTGGTGTGAGAGGAGAGGCCTCTTTCCGAGGGAAAATGTCAAGTGTGAGCTGTGCACCTGCAAGGCTACTGAGGCGCAGCTGGGGGCAGTGGGCTGGGCCCCCAGAGGACGCAGGCGGGCCAGTAGGTGGCCCCCAGCACTGCCGCGCAGGGTCCCCCTCTCTGGAGGCCCAAGCACCATAAGGTGCCCTGGTTGGACCCTGTTTCTTCCTTTATTTTTTTCCTTCTCAAAACAAGAGGAGATTAAAAAAAGTTGAGGTTTCATCTCTTAGAACTAACTTCACTCAGCAGGGGACTGTCTGGTTCCAAGCGGGGCTTCTTCCCTGAGCTACAAAGAGCTATATGTGAACTTCCTTAACTGCCCGAATCCCCAGCGGTCCTTCCTCTGTCAGAGAGATAAATGCTGTCTTCTTCTCCTCTTGCCCTCTCTTTTCTTTTTTTAAAACAATGATAACTTAAAAATATTACTCCAAGTTTGGGGAATAAGGTAGAGAATCACTCATAATCCTACTTTCCGTATACCGGCTCTATTGCTAGTCAGCTCCTTGGCTTCATGAATCACATATTACACCACTTTACACTGTTCTGACACGTGCAGAGATGAGTCGACAGGGGCATCTGTCAGGAAGTTAAACAATAGGAGAACATTGGGCCCGAACCACCGAGCCTGCTCCTCGCATGGGTTTAGAGGGACCGATGTGGCTTCCGTCCCGCCTCCACCGCCTGCGCTCAGCGACAGTGGTGCTGCTCTGTCGTGTGGCACTGCACTGCCCAGGTCTCATGTGAACCCACGCGCGCTCCCATTTTAACATTTAGAAAGCTGCTCCGGGAGGATCAGTTGGAGCCAGTTACCAAAGCAGCGCAGCAAGAGGAGTTGGAAAGAAGGAAACGTCTGGAGCAGCAGAGGAAGGACTATGCGGCTCCCATTCCCACCGTCCCCTTGGAGTTTCTGCCCGGTAAGCTGTGGCGGTGGCAGCAGAGGCCCTTGGCCGCCTGCAGTGGCCAGAGGTAGATCTGGAGGAAGGCCGTGACCTCTCAGCAACCCCTCAATCTATTCGGCTTCTTGGGAGCACACGATCGGAAGAATCGCATTTAAAAAGCTGAGGTGGATGAAAGTGTACTCTTCAAATTGATCTTCTTTAGATTTTTTTCCCCCCTTAATTTTGGATCTTACCATGCCAAAGGGCTGGGGCCTTTTCTAGCGGCCAGGTGGGCATTAGGGAGTAGGGACCAGCAGAGAGGGGAGCTTGGAAAGAGGGCCGAGGTTTTGGAGACGCCGTCTGCCTCTCTCCTCGGGGCAGTCCCTGCGAGAGCAACAGCGGCGGGTGGTGAAGCGTTGGAAGAGCACGCCTGTGCGCGCGCGCCCTGACGCCGCCCTCCGCCTCCTTCTCTAGAGGAAATCGTCTTAAGAGCGAGTGATGGTCCGCAGCTGCCTCCTCGGGTCTTGGCCCAGGAAGTCATTTGTTTGGACAGCAGCAGTGGCAGTGAGGACGAAAAAAGCAGTCGAGACGGTAAGATCAGGCCCGTGGTGCCTCTCCTTCCTCCCGGCCAGTGTCCAACCCAAGAGCTCAGCTCTCCTCCTGATAGGGCAGCGTTCAGTCCCGCTCACTCCCTCTGAGGTCTGACGATGACAGATCCCCTGAGTGTCCTCGGTAAATGTCAGGCTTTCCCTTGTCTTAACTTGAAGCTGGGCGAATTAATGGGTGACGTTAAAGCGTTTATGGGTGACGATGAGCCCTACCTTTGTTCCCACGCTCTTTGCTGTAACAGTGGGCAGTAAATGACCTCTGCTCCCTGGCCTGTGTTTTATTTTGTCCTGTCGACTGTCTCAGAGGTGATTGAGCTGAGCTCCGGCGAGGAGGACACCCTGCACATTGTTGACAGCAGCGAGTCGGTCAGCGAGGAGGATGAGGAGGAGGAGAAGGGTGGCACCCACGTGAATGATGTCCTGAACCAGCGCGATGCTCTGGGGCGTGTCCTTGTGAACCTGAACCACCCCCCGGAGGAGGAGAATGTCTTCCTGGCCCCGCAGCTGGCTCGGGCAGTGAAGCCTCATCAGGTATGGCAGGCCTGCCCTGCCCCTCTTCTGTCCCCATCAGCTTCCGTGCTGCGGACACCGCCTGCCGGCATCACAGCCCGGAAGCACTTGTTTGGTGCCACGAGCCGCTGCTGGAAAGGCCTGATTCCTCTTCCTAGTGGCCCAAGCTTCGGGGTCCACGATGAACACGCTGGGACGAGCCTCAGGGCTGCCCTGCCACGCAGAGCGTGCCGGGTCTCCTGGCTCAGTAGGCACGGGCCTCCTTCCGTGAGAGGCCTCTGGAGAGCAGAGCTTTGCTCAGGAGGCTTCGGCCGCCGAGGAGATGCGGAGTCAGAAGTCCGAGGGCCTCTGGGGTGGGAGGGAGCAGAGCAGCTTGTGTTGACCCGGAGCCTAGAAGCAGGACCAGTAGGTAAAAGCACCGTGAGGACACAGGCTAACCCTTGGTGAGGACTCTGGCAGTAAGACCGGCTCCTGTGGAACGGGCCGCCTCGTGTGGGCGGCCAGGGTGGCCAGTCGAGGCTGAGGGAGAGGCCCCGTCAGGACCTGGCTGCTACAGAGTCTGGCCTGGGACAGGCCCCTGTACCAGGGGGATGTTTTTCTGCGTTTTCTCCAAGAAACCTGTCGCCGGCCCATAGACCATTCAGGGCTCCGGGAAGCTTCCATAGCTGCCCCAACCAGCTGTCTGGTGTGACGTCTGCTCGTTTGCTGAATTCTGACTAATTCCAGAGTGAGGGAAACTCGGGCCCTGGTCTGTGCCAGCCCTCTGACCTTTGTCTGTGTTCCTTGTCAGATTGGAGGGATCCGGTTCCTGTATGATAACCTGGTTGAGTCCCTGGAGAGGTTTAAGACCAGTAGTGGCTTTGGCTGTATCCTGGCCCATAGCATGGGTCTGGGAAAAACTTTGCAAGTGATCTCCTTCATCGACGTCCTCTTCCGCCACACGCCAGCCAAAACGGTCCTTGCCATTGTGCCGGTAAGAGCTTGGGAAGGCCCCGCATAGCCAGCCCTCTGGGGGGCCCTGGGGGGGTGCTTTCCCCGGCACGAGTGAGCTGGGTGAGCTCGGCTCTGAGCTTGCTCCTCAGAGCTCTCTCTCTGGGCTTGGCTTTCTGACAGGTCAATACTCTTCAGAACTGGCTGGCGGAGTTCAACATGTGGCTGCCAGCCCCCGAAGCCCTGCCAGCGGACAGCAAGCCTGAAGAAGTCCAGCCTCGCTTCTTTAAAGTCCACATCCTGAACGATGAGCACAAGTAGGTGGCCCGCCCTCAGCCCTGCCGTTTCCTTTTAGACCTCCTCCTGGGTCCCTTTTGGTTTCTTGATGTGTCCCCTTTCTCCTTGCTACTCATTTTTTTCTCTACCTAGCTTTGCAGTAAAGTCAAAGTTGCACAGCCTGAGAAACTTCCTGTGTTCTGCTTGAGGATGCTTTTACATCCTGAAAAACCTGCGTGCAGGGTTGCGTTTTCCCGGGTGCATAGTAACAAAATTCAACATGATAGGCCCTGGCTGGCTGGCTCAGTTGGTTAGAACGTCGTCCTCATACGCCAGGGTTGGGGTTTGATCCTCGATCAGAGCACATACAATAATCAGCCAACAAGTGCATAAATGACTGGAACAGCAAATAGAGGTTTCTCTCTCCCTCTCTCTCTTTTTTCCTCCTTCCCTCCTCCTTTCCTGTCTCTAAAATTAATAAATTAAAAAAAATTTTTTTAATGCAACATGATAAAATGAAACTTTCCATTTTCTGACTTTGTACCAAAAATTTTACATTTCTCTTTTCTTAGCAGCTCATCAGTCTCTTCTTTTAAGCACCAATCTACAGTTGACCTTTAATGGTACAACTTCCAAACTTTGGAAGGTGCAAACCCTTTTTTGTTTTAGATTTAAATAAAGTTATTTGTGTTTGTACTCCATATAGTAAACCTGATTTCCGAAAACCTAAAGGTGTCTCTTGGTCCAGGCCCGCTCCCCGCGCTGCCCTTCCTCTCAGTGCGTGTCTCTGCTGAGGCCACTTACTGCCTGCGTGGCGTGGTCACACCCACCCAAGCGAGGGGACTGGGTGGCCCCAGGCTCCGGGACGGCTGGTCCTATGCGGCAGTGGAGCATAGCCAGGGCTCCACGGCCGGTGCCAGAGCGGAGGGGCTGTGCCGGCTGTCGGCTGCTCTTGGCCACCCTTCCCCTCCACTGCTTGCCCTTTGCTCTTTATTCACCGGAGCCTGTGCGGCCAAAGTGCAGGATGTTGCCCTTGCCTTTAGTACTTCCCATTTATTATGGGAGCAGCTTGAAATCCTTCCTCAAATATTGTAGTCAGGAGTGTGCATCCAAGGAGGTTGTCACTTTTGCTTGACCTGTGTCATTGGATTTTTGTGCTTTGCTGTTCACCCATCATCAGCGGCCAGTCCCTCCCCAGTGCAGTTAGTGCCTCTAGGGTGCCAGGAAAATCCTCGGGCGGCGATGCTGCCACTGAAGCCCTCGGCAATCAGGATCCTGAACGTACATCAGCACGGCTTCGCCACTGAGGCGCTCTTCCTGGAGAGCAGCGGGGGCAATAATTTCTTTTCTCTGTTCCCTCTTACAGGACAATGGCAGCGCGTGCTAAAGTGATGGCTGATTGGGTGTCAGAGGGCGGGGTGCTGCTGATGGGGTACGAAATGTACAGACTCCTCACCCTGAAGAAACCCTTTGCCACAGGCAGACCGAAGAAAACCAAGAAGCGCTCTCACCCGGTCATCATCGATCTGGATGAGGAGGACCGGCGGCAGGAGCTCCGCAGAGGTGGGCGGCCTGCCCCGGGGCCCCTCCTGGGGCGTGCTGGGGGACAGGGCCAGCGTGTGCAGTAGCGCCTCGTCCAGTGCGAGGCCTTGTTGCTGTGAGCTCTGCCGTCCTGAACCGGGACGCCCGGTCCCCGAGGTAGGTGGGGTGACCTTCTGGCCCTCAGAAGCTGTGGACTGCTGGCCGGGCCAGGCCCCAGGCAGGCTCGGAGGAGACCCCCCGCCCCTCCTCGCTCCTCTCACCCAGCGGCTGGGGGAGGAGCCGCTGCCTTTGCCACGGCTGGCGATGTTCTGAGGCAGCAGTAAGAAGATGTTTATAAAGTCCTTACGTCACTGAGACACAGAGTGATGATAATACTGTTTGTGAATTTCTAAAACAAAAATTAATCCCAGTCTTCCAGTGAAGGCCATTCCTCTCATAGTTCTGCTCCCTCTTCTAAGAGCCTTTGCCCCTTTGGGGAAGAACGTGTTTTGGGGGTTCAGGCTGTTTCATATTATAAGTAGCCTCTTCTCCCTGAGGTCACGTCCATTGTAGCCTTGCTTCTGTCATAGAGCAGGGATGAATCTGCCCGTTAGCTGGCGGGGGAGTAGGTCCAGGAAGACCTTGCCGTGCAGCTGTCCCACCGGCCCTCAGAAGGCACCAAGACACTCACGGTGCTGACGCCAACTCAAGTGCCCAGATCGCTTCTGTTGGCCACGTGCAGACTCATGTACTCTGTGCAGCCACGCTCTCTGTGGCCCAGCTGGTCTAAGCCCAGGAATGCAAGTCGGTTTTACTTGTAGCCTGAAGGGGAAAAAAAGAGAAAGAGATGTTTACTTCTAGAGTCAGCAGGCCAGGCTCCTGCGTCCCGCCAGCACGCAGGAGCGGGGATGGCCGGCTCCCTCACCGGCGGGGGCAGACGCTTGCTTTCCTGCCTCCCTTACTCCTCCTGCCTCCTCCAGGGCTCACCCCTCCCCCTCATGGTGCTTACCCCGAGCGGGCCCTCCCACCTCTGACTGTGGGCCCTCCTCCCTCCCTAGAGTTTGAGAAGGCCCTGTGCCGCCCTGGCCCTGACGTGGTCATCTGTGACGAGGGGCACCGCATCAAGAACTGCCAGGCCAGCACCTCCCAGGCCCTGAAGAACATTCGCTCCCGCCGCCGGGTGGTGCTGACTGGGTACCCCCTGCAGAACAACCTCCTCGAGTACTGGTGCATGGTGGACTTCGTGCGCCCAGACTTCCTGGGCACCCGGCAGGAGTTCAGCAACATGTTCGAGCGCCCCATCCTGAACGGGCAGTGCATCGACAGCACGCCCCAGGACGTCCGCCTCATGCGGTACCGGAGCCACGTGCTGCACAGCCTCCTGGAGGGCTTCGTGCAGAGGTGAGCCACCGCCCCTGCAGGAGGGGGCAGCCCCCTCCTTGGGCAGGAGCTAAACTCCCTTCTGCTCAGGAGCCTTTCCTGAACAGCTAGCAGAGGACAGGCGCCCACTGTCTCAGTGCTCTGGAAGTTTGGCCTAAAAATGTTCCTCTCAAAGGTCGGTCTGGCCCTGGCTGGTGTGGCTCAATGCACTGAGCGCTGGTCTGTGGGCCAAAGGTCACTGGTTCAATTCCTAGTCAGGGTACATGTCTGGGTTGGGGGCCAGGTCCCCAGCTGGCAGTGTGCAAGAAGCAGCTGATCAATGGTTCTTTCCCTTTCTCCCTCTCTCCCTCTCTTTCTAAAAATAAATAATAAAATATTTTTTTTAAAAAGTCAATCCAGCCCTGGCTGGTGTGGCTCAGTGGATTGAGCACTGGCCTGCAAACCAAAGGGTCTCCTGTTCCATTCCCAGTCAGAGCACATGCCTGGGTTGCAGGCCAGGTCCCCAGTAGGGGGCGTGCGAGAGGCAACCACACATTCTTTCTCTCCATCCCTTTCTCCCTCCCTCTCTAAAAATAAATAAAATCTTAAAAAAAAAAGTGAATCCGCAGTTACGACGGATGCCTGCCTTACCTGCTGAGAGAGGCAGAGAGCGCTGGCATTCTGCTGAGTCAGGGGAAGAGCAGCCGTGGCCTGAGGGTGGGCTGCGGCTGCGGCTGTTTCAGCCCCCGGATGCATGTAGTTTGCTCTGGTCCCCAGCAGCCTTGAGTTTCCTTGTTAGCATGGCCGTGCGGAGAAAGCTGAGAGAAGCACCCCTGAGTGGGGGTAAGAACCTGGGGCAGCTCACTGGCCTGTGGCCTTAGTTTTCATGCCAAAAATGGGTCTCTTCTCCATGGTTGCTGAGCCAGCCCTCACTAAGAGGCTGCTGTGAGGTCCTCAGAGGTAGGTGTGGCAGAAAGGCAGGGTCCGGTTTCTGTCCTGCACTTGGTCCTTCCTGGCCACGCTGCCTTGGCAATTCTGATTTCTGCATTTGTAGGAGAGGCCACACTGTGCTGAAGATTCACCTCCCTGCCAAGGAGGAAAATGTGATCCTGGTGCGGCTTTCCCAGATCCAGCGAGATTTGTACACTCAGTTCATGGACCGCTTCCGGGACTGTGGCAGCAGCGGCTGGCTGGGGCTGAACCCCCTGAAGGCTTTCTGTGTGTGCTGCAAGGTGTGTGGAGGCCTGGGGACGCTGAGGGCCCGGCCAAGGACGCACGCGGCTCCGCAGGAGTCCCTCCCGCGGGGCGTCCTTGGTAAAGGAAGAAGGAAGGTGGAGGGGCCGCCTCTGCGTTGGAGGATGGAGGCTCGAGGGAGGGACGTGCTGGCGTTGAGTGGCACGGTTCTGGGGAGTGGCCTCAGCTGCGCCGCTTGTCATGCCACACGTGGGAGACAACTGATTTTTTCACTTGAAAGAGGGGGTGATGGTGGGACATTGTGGGGCAGCGTTTTTGCCCGCTCGCGTGATTGAGAGGCAAGAACTACATGGCTCAGACAAGCTGTTGGGGCGCCTTCCCTTGTGTCTGTACTCAGTCAGACTGAGACCCCTTTCACCCTGATAATGCTGCAGGGGGGTTGGGGACAACAAGGCCCAGGTCCCTTTAGCTCTAAGCCCCGTGAACACGCTGAGAACACTGACTTGTTTGTGATCTGGCCACACGCTCCCTGTTGCCTTTCGGGGGACCGTTGCTCTGACAGCTCCCAGCCGACCTGTTGGCTGTTATTTCTGATGGACAGCTTCACTAAGTGAGCTGACTGTGTGTGCCTGGGGGCGGAGGGAGTATCAAAATACTTCTTTTGCAGCCTCAGTCCCAGAGACCAGGGCTAGGAGTCTCAAGCGGACGTGGTCTGGGTCAGGGCCACAGTGCCGACGCCCCCGTCCTACCGGTCCCCTTCCCCTCCCCGGGAATTCTCAGCTCCCGCTGGGACAGTCCCAGAAAGGACCTCTGTTTGGTCATCTGGAAGTCAGACACGTTGTCCTTAGGGAGACAGTGGCCTTGTTTCATACAGTAGTTGACTGGCCGTGCCGTGGAACTGGAATGCTCTTGCTGAGTGAGCATAAGAGGGGACGGCCTGGGGTACAGGCTTCTGCTGATGTGCCAGGCATGCCGGCACGGCCCCAGCCTGAGCGCTCCTGCCTACAGCTCATGGCGGTCAGAGCAGGCAGTGGGGACGCATGTGCCGGCTCTTTGGCCCTGAGGGGCTGGGATACTTCCACTTTGGGTGTGGCGCTGTGTGCTGTGGGAGGCGGGAGATGGAGCGAGTGCCTGTCTCCAGACTCTGGGCCCCCCTTACATCGTCCTCTGCCCTGTGTCCCCTTTCCCCTGACCTGGACCTCAGATCTGGAATCACCCCGACGTGCTGTATGAAGCCCTTCAGAAGGAGAACCTGGCCAATGAGCAGGACCTAGACGTGGAAGAGCTCGGTTCGGCAGGGACTAGTGCCCGCTGTCCATCCCAGGGAACGAAAGTCAAGGCGGAGGACAGCGCCTTGGCCTCCGCAATGGGAGAGGCCGCCAACACCAAGTTCCTCCAGGGGGTGGGCTTCAGCCCTTTCCAGGAGCGAGGCAACAACATTGTCACCTACGAGTGGGTGAGTTAAGCGCGTCTTCTGTTGCCGTCAACCACTGCTGAGAAGGGACTGTGTAAAGCCTACGTGACAGGGCGGGAGGTCGAGGCTGTGCAGGGCACAAGGAGGTTGCCTGGGAGCCGCTGTCCGGGGGAGGGGGGGGGCGGGGAGCGGGGCGTTTTACTTCTAGCAACCTGGCTGTGGGCCTGCTCTAAGCTGCCTCATCTTTCTCTTGCAGGCCAAGGACCTTCTGACTGACTACCAGACTGGAGTCCTGGAGAACTCTCCCAAGATGGTACTGCTTTTCCACCTGATCGAGGAAAGCGTGAAGCTCGGGGACAAGATCCTCGTGTTCAGGTAAAAGAAAAATTCCCGAGCGACACTGCTCCTCTGGTAAAACTGCTGCAGGCCCTGCAGAGTGGGACGTCTGGGGTCACCTCAGCCCTTTTTCTCTCTTCCTGCCTCTGCAGCCCAGTGCTTCTTGGAAGGACCTTGCATTTTCTCTCTTTCTTGGAGTTTCTTTCTTTTTCCAGTGCTATTCTCTGCAGAGAACAGTTTGAAACTGTGGGCTAACGTTGCAGATTATAGTCTGAAACTTCAGGTTATGGCCCCAGGCCAAATGTGGCCTGTGACCTGTTACCGTACAGCCTAAAAACTAGTTTTTACATTGGAAAGGGGTTTTAGAAAAAGAAAATGCAGCAGAGATTGTCTGTGATCTGCAAAGCCTGAACATGTTTACCGCCTGGCCCTTTACAGCATGCGTTTGCTGACCCTTGGTCTAATCTGCCTCTTTTCCTCTTTACTTTTTTTTTTTTTTAAATAATTAAGCTTTGTATGGCACGGGCTGGGAGCCCCGGAGGGAGGGGTCTCCCCGGGTGACACGGAGCGAGGACAGCCGTGGCTCTGGCTGGGGAGAGCCTTCCGGTTTCCTGGCTCCCGTCCGAGGAGACTCGCTCCGCGTAGCCCGCAGGCGGCCGAGGGCCTCGCTTTCCCCAGGGAGCCCAGGTGTGCCCGTGGCCTGTTGCTGGCTCCCACACACCCTCGTGCAGTGGGCGTTTTTAACGCCGATCTTGTGACTAGACTGAGCTCATAAACCCCAGAATTTCCCTGGTGAGAAAGTCAGAGGGTGGCGAGGTTTTTGGTGGGGTGGCGGTGATAGCTGTGTGAACAGTTCCACCCCCATTATGGGCTAGAGAGAATGCCCTTGGTGGTCCTTTCGGGGGGGTCACGTCCCGTGGGGGTTAGACTGAGAGCCCCCACCACCAGGAGGCCACGCACAGCTGTGGGCCTGTCGGGGGACAGGACTCGCTCGGGCCTGGGAGCATCCGTCTGAAGCGAACGCTGTCCCTTTCCAGCCAGAGCCTGTCCACCCTGGCGCTCATCGAGGAGTTCCTCGGGAGACGGGAAGCGCCCTGCCCGCCTGGCGCCGAGGGCCAGGGGGCGCAGAAGTGGGCTCGAAACGTCAGCTACTTTCGTGAGTCCCCTGACGCTTCGTCCTGGGGCCCTGGCAAGGTCTGCTTAGGGGGCCCCTTTCCCCCTCCACTTCTCTTTGCTCCACTCTCCATCAGATGCGTAGGGACATCCACGATTCTCCAAGGAGCAGAGAGACACTGAGAGGGAGCGTCTGGAGAAGCACTGTCCGAGGGCCAGGGAGCTTGGGCGAGACAGGCAGCACAGACCGGGGGAAGGCATGGGCCTCGTCCTCCCCGGAACCAGGGCAGCTCGAGGACAGATACAGAGCAGCGCTGCCGTGCCCTACCTGGGGCTCTAAGCAGGACAGAGCCACCCTGGGGAGGTGGTTGGAGAAGGCTTCCTGGAGGAGGCAGAGCCAGACTAGGCTCGGCAGAAGCAGATGCGGGTAGAATGTGAGAGATGCAGAGCCAGTGTGGCCTGAAGGCCATCCTAGGGGTAGGGGCAGAGTGAACACAGTCTCAGTCCTGCACTCTCTTGGGGGGAGATAGCAACCCCTGGGGGGTGGAAATTGGTTCTTGAGGGGGCGAAAAACTTAACTTTTTGAAGTATAAAGCACAAATATGCATATAGTAAACAAATATATACAATATATCTGCTGTGTTAAAATTGCGTGGGGGGCAAGGTGCTGGAAAAAAAAAACGTATAAAAAGGTTCCTTAAAGAGGGTAGAAATGAAGAAAAAAAAAGTTGAGAAATGTTGAGCCCAGGCACTTAGGGACCAGACACTGGCATTTGGCCAGATCATTCTTCTCTGTCAGGGGCAGCGGGCGCACTATAGGGTGCTGAGCAGCACCCCCTGCTCTGTTCACTAGATGGCAGTAGCACCCACTCAGTTCTAGGCCAACGCTGGCTCCAGGACTGAGGGGGTCTCCTGTGGGGCGGTGGGTGCAGGCATCACCCTTGCTGAGGAGCCCAGGAGGGCCGGGCGTGGTGAGAAGACCCCAGCGCAGGATCCCGCCCGCCCGGAGCCTGTGTTGACTCCAGGCTGGTCCAGTGCGCCAGTGCTTAGCTGTGCTTGGACACCGTGAGAACTCAGGCTGGAGAGGTAGATGGGGCGCGACTGAGCGTGCCTCCAGTACCAGCCAATTAAACAGATGCTTTCTCCAACTCGAGGAACTCAGTCTCCATGTGGCATTTCACATGCCTAGCTTTGCCCTCTTCTCTGCTTTCCCGGGGGACAAGAGGGGTCCCTCCTCACTTACTCGTGCTTCCTAACTGAGGGTTATTTTTCTCCTTTGAACTTCCCCCTTTTCATCCATGCCTCTCCCCACGGCTCCCTCCTGTGGGTTCCTTTGCATCTCCTTGTAGCAAGTCGTCAGCCTTGGGAGCCGGCTGACAAGGCAGAGTCCTGCCGGAGGAGCATGATCCGCAGCAAACACAGACCCCTCGGTCCATCTGTGCTTGTCAGGAGGCGGGGAGGTTCCCTGAGCCAGGGCCAACCAAGCATCTATATTGAGGGTGATTCCTGTGCACTCCAAAGTCTAGGGACCTTGGCCTTAGAAGTGACCCAAGATGCTAAAGGGAGACACATAGTTTATAGCCCTTGTGCATGAGGGGTCACCTGGGGATATTTTTAAATTACAGAACCCTGGGTCTCATGGCAGACCATGGGATGTCTGGGGTAAAAGCAGAGCACTGCAGTGTGTTTACTAGTTTTGTTTTCAAAACACATTTGCCTGGTAGCTTTGCTCCAGGCCCCTGCCCTCATCTGTCCACTTCGGTGGTTTTCCTTCTGCCCTAGGGCTGGATGGTAGCACCCCTGCCTTCGAGAGGGAGCGGCTCATTAATCAGTTCAATGATCCCAGCAACCTCACCACCTGGCTGTTCCTCCTTTCCACAAGGTGAGTGGATCCTGGGAGGGCAAGCCAGGGGCTCTGTTCGGGGCGGCTGGCCACATAGCAGGTGCTGTACAGGCTCGTCCAATTTCCTTCAGAAGAACACTGTTCAGGTTTGTAACTTGTTTTTGAAGTGAGAGAGGGCAGACCAAAAGGAAGTTTATTAAAAGGGTGATTGTGATATTGCCATTAAGTCATCAGAGACCCTTGTTAATAATGGTAGTAATTAGCTTTCCCCTTGGAGTGTTCTGAGGCTTAGACGGTATGACGAATGGGAAGGTGTTTTTCAAAGTAGGAAGTGCAGTGTAACTGTAAGAGGCAGAGGGCCCTGGCTGTCTCACACCAAGCAGCTGAAGCCGGCGCTGCCTTCTGCCATCAGAACGCCCCTGGCGGCGTGGCCCAGCCCCTCTCCTGGGCCGCGAGGCGAGGCCCATACTGTCCCTCACCAGGCGGCATTGCACTCAGCACAGCAGGGGCTGCAGGGCGGGCTTTCTTGCTGCACTGGCCGGCACTCCCTGTCGGACAGCCAGGGCATCCTTTTCGGTGCTTGGGGACTTGCCCTGTTCATCAGCAGGACAGCAGGGCCCGCCTGCGCGTTGTGCTTAGGACGGAGGACAGTGTTGGGGTAGGAGCCACAGAGGGTCGAAACAGATTTGAAAACCGTCTTTAACACTAAAGGCTCTGTGACTGCCGGTCTGTGTTTCAAAGGGCCGGGTGCTTGGGCGTGAACCTGATCGGGGCCAATCGAGTGGTGGTGTTCGATGCTTCCTGGAACCCTTGCCACGACGCTCAGGCAGTGTGTCGGGTGTACCGTTATGGCCAGAAGAAGCCGTGTCACATCTACCGCCTGGTGGCTGACTTCACCCTCGAAAAGAAGATCTATGACCGTCAGATCTCCAAGCAGGGCATGTCAGGTGGGCCGTCCTCCGGGCTGGAGGAGGCACGCTTGCGCAGGCGCCATCCGCACTGCGTGCGTCAAGGCGGGCAGCGAGGGGGAGGGCGTGGGAACACAGGCAGGCTTTCGGTCATAGAGAGCTCACAGTTCCCCATCTCCTTCCGATTCAAAGAATCGCTTACGAGGGATTGACCTCAGCTTGTTGAAGGCGGGCTTAGTGGTAAGAGCTGAGCTAGTCATGCAGGTTCTGTTATGATATTTCCATTTCACCAGGGCTTCAGGCCTGGTCTTTGACTCTCAGACATGGAATGGCCTGAGGTAGTCTAGATATTAGCAACAATTAATACCCATCTTTGTAGCTGTGTCTTTGCCGTTGTCTTTGCTGTGCACTGCCTGACTTCCTTCACGCCTTCTCCCTTCTAGATCGGGTGGTGGACGATCTCAATCCAATGTTGAACTTCACCCGGAAGGAGGTGGAGAACCTACTGCACTTTGTTGAGAAGGAGCCGGCTCCCCAAACGTCTTTGAACATAAAGGGGATCAAGGAGCCGGTCCTGCAGCTTGCCTGTCTGAAGTACCCTCACCTCATCACCAAGGTAAGGACCCGTGTGCTGCAGCCCCAGTAAGACAGCCCGCAACAGGCCGGCTCGTCTGGCAGGCCTGTTTTCTTCACTGGGACTTGTGCAGGCAGCTTGAGCTCCGCTGGTTCTGGTCCCTGCCCCACCCCTGTTACGGCCTGTGAGTGCTGGGCACAGCCATGTGGAGTAGTTTGGCCAGCGTGTTTCCCTGGCAGAAAGAGAAATGGAAAGCTCAGAAACTGTAGCCTCTGAGTTCTGTGAGCTCCCCTTCCTTTGCTATGGAAGGCAGCCTCAGGCTGTCAGACGCTGGCGCGGGGCTGGGCTTGTGGACCGTCCGCTCGGCGGCAAGACAGCGAGCCTGCCAGTATGTCCGTGAGCGGGCTCATGGCTGGTGATGGGGACAGGCAGCACTTCTTGATACCAGGTCAGGCTCGTGTGAGTCCTTGCATTGGCACAAAGACTGATAATTAAGCCAACACCCTCCTGCGTCCCCAGGAGCCTTTTGAGCACGAGTCATTGCTCCTTAACCGAAAGGATCACAAGCTGACCAAGGCGGAGAAAAAGGCAGCGAAGAAAAGCTATGAGGAGGACAAACGCACGTCGGTCCCCTACACCCGCCCATCGTATGCGCAGTACTACCCCGCCAGCGACCAGAGCCTGACCAGCATCCCCGCCTTCAGTCAGAGGAACTGGTGAGTCATGGGGTTGGGGGCGGGCGGTCTGCCGCGGGCCAGGCCCAGGCCTTCCCGTGGTGCATGGCTTCAGCAGAGGGACAGACTGCAGCTCGCTCTTGGCTGCTGAGCCAACAGGCCCTGCTCTTGGACGAGGCGTCCAAGCGGTTCAGTTGCCCTAGTGTTTCCAGCGGCTCTGGCTGGAAGAACGAGCTGCTGGTCTCACGACTCAGGAGAGCCCTTTTGGATTCCTGGGCGGCGCAGCCTCCCAAAACACAGAGGCCCCCTGCGCCCCCCACCACCGGCGCAGCCGCATCCTGCCCGTAGCACCTGGGTCCTCAGCCTTGCTGAGCGCTGAGGTTCAGGGGGGAAGGCCAGGTCTCTGCTGCCAGCGAATTCTGCTGCCCCTCAGGGGGTTCCACTCTGTGGCTGGGCCACAGTCCTGAGTGGAAAGTCCTTTTCTCCAGCGTAGCTTCTAGAGCTGTTCAGAGTATGAAGAGGAAGACAGCTAAGTGCTGAGTGGAGAGGGGTGCTTTGTAAGAGAATATTACAGAACAGTTACCTGTGTTTAACTTTTTTTTCATTTTTAAGACTACTTCATAACACTTACTAGATTGGCTGCTTGATTGGTGGTTTCGTTTTTAATTTGTTTAATTATTTTAAAGATAATTATTTTGAATGGGATAGATTTGAAACTTTTTTTTCTTATGAAGAATGCATGTGGAAAAAAAACTTGCCAAATGAGGTTTTAAAGGAACTGAAACCATGTGGCATTTTATATGAGACTCTCTTTTGGTGAGTAGATTTGCTTGTATAAGATGTTTTAAGGAGAAAGTCACTCCCTTTCAAGCCTTCAGACTGTATTCCTGTGTCATTTCCCCGGATGCTGTTGCCTGTGAATGTTCTCCTCTCTTGTCCTTCCCTCCTTTTTTCACTTTTCTGGGCTTTTCCATGTAACAGTAGCAATGGAGTAAGCCTGAACCCAGCGGGAGAAAAGCCACGTGGAGGGGAAGTCCAGGCAAATGGGCTGGGCTGTGAGGCGATGTTGGCTCCCGCATGGGCTCTGCTGCTCCTGGCATTTGATAGCCACACATACCACGACCCCACTGATTCCTTATTCACTGGGGTGCATGTGAGGAGGCCTTCGGCCCAAATTCCTCGCCTCAGCCCCTGCAGAGTATGGGGCGTGGGCTGGATTCCCGTCAGCCTCCTGACTTGATCCTGGGAGAAGTCCCACGGTCACCTGGCCAGGGCCCGGGCTCCTGCGCAGCCACCCTGGGTGGGCGTGGAGGAGGCGGCCCCGGCCTGGTGAGCTGCTGTGCCTCCGGGCCTGCCTGGGAGTGCGGGCGCCCACAGGGCCCGGGGCGATGCCCGACATGCTTCGTCAGATGGGGCAGAGCACGTCAGTCCAAGGAGGTCGGCTTCCTACGACTAAAGACCAAAGCCAGAGGTTTCAGAAAGCTTATAGACAGAACAATTTCAAAAATCTTAAGTCAGGAGCAGCTTTTTCATGGTACCAACACCCAGACAGAAGAAGGCGAAGCATGAGGAATGCATCACTGGCCCCGGGGCAACATGGTTGACGGATCGGCAGTAGGACACGCACAGCTAACACTCAGGCTGGCCACGGGCACGGGCCGATTAGAAGCCTGGCTGCTGCGCACAGCGTTCGGCTGCTGCCACTGCCGCCTCTGTGGTGGGCATGCCTAGAGGGGGTGCTTTGGAGACCAGCCCCAGGAGGAGCCCACTGAAAAGTAATGCACAGCAGAAAGGGGGTCTGCATCACTTGTTGCTACTTGAGGCTTCAGAGAGTAAACACGATTAAGGTTGGACTGGTGGCCTTTCAAGTCCACCTGAACAGGTGGCATCATGTGGCCTTTCTCCTTGAGTGGGTGGGGAAATCCCACCCGTTCATCGTCAAGATGGCGTGTGCTATGCCCTGAGGGGCTTTTCCTGCTTACGGTGTCTTTGCTTCTCCCTGACTACAAGGACTAATCCCTAACGTGTGCAGACTGATGGTCCAAGTTCTGGAGGAGCAGCTGTCACATCCCACCCCCGTAAAGGTGTCATTCCACTGACATCTGACTCTCCTTTGATTCTGAGAGGCATCTCCCCTCACTGCCTCCCGGTCTGCGCATGGTCTCAGTCCTGCGTTGGCGGCGTCTTTTGAGTTGGCCATACTCTGTAGGCTCTTCTGATGCTCCTCGGAGCAGCACCTGTGGCTGGAGGAGGGGGTGTCTGCAGGGCCCTGCGGGCTTTGCAGGAAGCGGGGGTGGCATTCCGCCAAGCTCGCTGAGTGCACGCATCTTCTCCCACAGGCAGCCAGCCCTGAAGAGCGACGAGAAGCCTGTGGCCAGCGTGCGTCCTGTGCAGTCCACTCCCATCCCCATGATGCCCCGGCACGTCCCGCTGGGAGGCGGCGTCAGCTGCGCCTCCGGCACAAGCCCAGCCGTGAACTTCCCAATCAACTACCTGCAGCGTGCGGGCGTCCTGGTGCAGAAGGTGGTCACCACCACAGGTTGGGAGCGCCTGGCTTCTCTTCCAGGGAGGCCGACCCTTTTCAAATTACTTTGCTCATTCAGGAATTTTATTATTCATTGAACACCTGTGCATCCTAGGCCTTACTGCACTGGCATTGTAGGTAAAATCAGAGAAAACAGCAGTCCCTGGTCTTGAGGGATTTGCATGCTGATGAAATAATCTTCATCATCATAACATGGAACACGGTCTTCTTGAACATGGTGGGTGGAACCTTCACATGGTGGGTTGCAGAGACAGTGGTGATGTCACTGGGACGCAGGGTCAGTCTTCCGAGGGACCTGTGAGTGTGGAGTCCCGCCTGACTGTAGGGTCGGCTGAGCATAAAGGGCAGCTGTTGATCTCCCCGCTTGCTTAGAAGGTCTGAATGTCACCTGCTTCTTCCTCTGTGAGTCTGGAGTGGATTGAGCAGGGCAGATCTGTGGTGAGGAGGTGGGCACAGCCCATCTGTCCTCACAACTGGACCTGTGAGTCAGGGTCATCGGGAAGGAAAGCATGTCACAAAAAGAGAGCCTCTTGTAATTCTGCTTCTCCGCCAGCTCCTGAGGCTTCTCCTCATTCTTTGGTGTGTTGCGAGCAGTGGCCGCGGGACAGAGGGTGGAGCCGCGCGGGGCCTGGCGCACTGCGGGCCGTCGGGAGGAGGGGGAGGAGACACCCGGAAGTAGCCATTTGAACTAAAACTTCTTTTGAACCAAAACCTCTATGAATTTTTAATTAATTCAGGGGAACTTGGACCAAAACAGTGATCGGATTTGTAGGAAGCTTCTTTTTTCCATGGTGCCCTTTATTCAGACGGCAGGGGTGAGGCGGGGGGGGGGGGGGCGGGCTGCTCACTCCACCTCCCCCGATGCTGGCCTCTGCTCCCAGAGAAGCTTTAGGGCGGCCCCTGAGGAACGGGCAGGCGCGGACTGTGGCGTCCTTGCCTGCTTTCCGCAGGCCCCGTGCAATCTAAATCTGAGGTCTGTGTCTTCACTAGATATTGTTATTCCTGGACTCAACAGCTCCACAGACGTGCAGGCGAGAATCCACGCTGGCGAGAGCATCCACATCATCCGCGGGACGAAAGGTGAGAGGCCGGCCAGGCCGACCCCCTGAGGCCCAGAGTGCTGGCTGGGCTGGAGCGCCCGAGCGTGCGCTTGTGCTGGGGGGAGGAGTCATCCTGTGGGTGCCGCGCGTGGGGGAAGCACGGGAGGGGGCTGTTCCAGGAGCTTAGTGGGGTGGGGATGGGCCCAAAGGCTGTGTCAGTGGCTCAGAAGAAAGACGTAGGGTCCCCACATTTCAGGATTTTGATGTTTTGGGGATTTTTTTGAGAATTTGGGGTGGGTTTGAATAGACACTCTGCTTTGTGTTGGTCTTAGCCTGTTGATGGTGAGGATGTCAGGTGGGAATGCACGACTCACCTGTTCCTGCACTACCTGTGGGAACCCCATAGACATTTCCCCAGGGCCAGTGTTGTGGCCGAACCGGCCCTTGTGGGTGCTCTGACTGTGACGCGCGGCAGCCGTCAGGGGACTGTCGGTGCAGGTCTGCTACTCACAGGCCCGGGGGGCGCATGTGGAGCTTGGCCTGCACGGAGGCCTCGGGTCGAGAGAGCGCGCGCGCCAGGTCTCTGTCTCATCACAGTTCAAGAGTGGGGTCAGTCTTCGTGGGCCAACGTAGAACATACAAGGGGGACCCCCCAAAAAAACCCGGAATTTATTTATAAGATACTGTGTGTGTATTCTTACATGTTTGAACTTCAGTTATCCTCGAAGTATTCTCCATGATGCAATACACCTCAGCTCAGAACAGTTCTCGAATTCGTCGGTTTTGATGTCTTTTAGTGCTTCTGCTGTTTTTTTTGTTTCATCTCTTCCACACCAGCAAAGCATTTCCCTTTGAGGACTCTTTTCATCCAGGGAAACAGAAAGAAGTCCTCGGGGCGAGATCGGGTGACTAGGGAGGGTGGGGCACGGGGGTCTTGCCACCGTTGGTCAAAAACTGCTGAGCACTCAGTGCGGTGTGGGCAGGCGCGCTCCTAAATCACCCATCACGAAACGGGCAAAAGCCTCGAGAGTCTTCAAAACAAATTCACTAAAGCTGAACGCAGCCTCTCACAACAGTGCCAGCTGGTGCACTGGTCCAGATGGGTTCCTGGAACACCCACCTGGCAGGGAAGCCTGTACCACAAGGGGCCTGCACTCCAGAAGAAAATTTTGGGTTTTTTTGGGTCCCCCCTGTAAGAGTGGAAATCAGGGCACTGGAAGGGAGAGCAGGGTCATTCAAGGGTCAGGTACCCTGGGCTTTCTAAAAGGGGGGCATCGTGGGTGGGGGCCACCTGGTTCCGTAGCTAGCTGTTCAGCCAGTAGCTGTATCATACAGCTGGCAGTTTGTTTATTTGAGATGGGTGTCTTTGAAATGAATGCTTCAGCAATCAAAAGCAGAAATCTGGCACTCACACTGCACACAGGGAAATCACAATCAAAAGGAGAGCGCTGTGGAGGGGCTGTCAGCCAACGTGCATGTCGCTGTGTCATCTCAGCTACTTGCCTGGAGTGGCGTGGGAGGTCTCCGACGGGGAAATGCACTGGGCGGACGAGTCAGTGTACGTGGGCTGCGTGACAGAATTCCCGGGCGTGGTGGTTCGGAAAGTCCACTGCCCTGGCCCTTACAAAGGGAGAGGAGACAGCTGGGCTGAGGGCTCTGGGCTGGACATTGTCACAATGGTGTCAAAGCCTGTTTTCACCCAGCCTTTACGCTCTGAGGCTCTCTTTGTTTAGAAAGAAGATTTTACCCTCACCTCTGTCTGGTCAAAGTACCTTTTGGCTCAGGGAAAAGATGCCATGAGATACAAGGGCTGATAAATGGCAAACTACAGCCGGTCCACTGGCCAAATCCAGCCCGCTTCCTGTTACTGTTCTATGAGCTAAGAATGGGTTTTACATTTTCAGTTGATTGGGGGAAAAAAAAAAGTTAAAGAGTATTTTGGGACATGAAAATTATATGAAATTCACATTTCAGCATCCATAAATAAAAATTTTTAGATCATAGTCACACCCAGCTGTTTTCATGCTACAGAGTTGAATGGCTGCAAGAGAGATCTAATGACTCACAGACCCAAAAATATTTCCTGACTGGCCTTTTAAGAAAAGTTTGCCGATCTCTGGTCTTGAGGGAGCCCTGCCTTTCCAGAGCCTGAGCAAAAGACATACCAAAGGCAGATTAGTGCTGTGCAGGGGAACGCAGGTGTAGAGTCACTCCTGACCACAGAGAGAGGTTATTGAGGCAATAAGGCTTCTTCCTTCCAGGCCAGGAGGGTGCAGGCCCGAGTACCTTGTTCTCTTTCACAGCACCCCATTTACGAGGTGGGGCCCAGAAACAGACTTTCCTTCTAGTACAGACTTCTCCGCCAGGTGGGTGTTCCAAGAACCCATCCGGACCAGCGCATCAGCTGGCATTGTTTTTGAGAGGTTGCATTCGGCTTCAGTGAATTCATTTTGAAGACTCTCGAGGCTTTTGCCCGTTTCGTGATGGGTGATTTAGGAGCGCGCCTGCCCACACCGCACTGAGTGCTCAGCAGTTTTTGACCAACGGTGGCAAGACCCCCGTGCCCCACCCTCCCTAGTCACCCGATCTCGCCCCGAGGACTTCTTTCTGTTTCCCTGGTTGAAAAGAGTCCTCAAAGGAAAACATTTTGCCTGCGTGGAAGAAGTGAAACAAAAAACAGCAGAAGCACTAAAAGGCATCAAGGTCCCCAAGTTCAAAAACTTTTTGAGCCGTAGGGAAAAAGTCTCGATAGGTGTACTGCCTCAAATGGAGAGTACTTTGAAGGCGACTGAAGTTTAAACATGTAAGAATAAATACACAATTTTTTATAAATAAATTCTGGTTTTATTTGGGCCCCCTGTACCTCCTCCATTGCCTTTAAACCTTCCTGACATTTTCTGGGGTGACTGCGGTCTCCCCCTTGCAGATTCAGGGTCTGGAGCGGGGTCGACCACAGCACTGGCGTGGCTGGTGGTTGTGGCGTCATTACTGGGCCGCAGCTCAGACACCCCGCTGCTCATTTCAGGCACCTTGAGAGAGGGTGTGAACCCTAACTTGAGAGCTTTGTCCCCACCTGCTCCCCGCAGCGTGGCCTGGAGCTCCTGGGGCTCGTGGTGCCCGCCGTCTGCCGCTAACAGTCTTCCCGTGTTTGCCAGGGACGTACATCCGCACCAGTGACGGGCGGATCTTTGCTGTCCGAGCGACCGGCAAACCCAAGGCTCCTGAAGACGGCCGGGCGGCTGCCTCAGGTAGAGTGGCGTCCGTCCCCCACTGACCTGCTGGGCATTTCTTTTTGTTTGGCCTAGTTTCACTTGTAATGAATTTAGTTTTTGAGCAGATAATGTGTACATGGTTCACAATTCAAAAGGTACCAAAAGAAGTAAAGTGGAAAGCAAGTTCTCCTCCGGCCAGGCCTGCCCGCTTGTCGTTCAGAGGTGCTCTGCACTCACTCGGCGCAGGGAGGGCGGTGTCTGCCTGGAGAAGAACACAGGGGTGTCACTGTCCTCTGCATCTTTAAAGCGCGTGCTGACTTACCGGAATGCAGTCTGGTCCCTCTTCCCTTGCTAGTGCAGCCCAGGGCTGGCTCCTGAGCACTCCCGGAGGCGCTTCTCGGCGGGGCTTGCACAGGAGGCCGGTAACTGGGGGTCCGGGGGGTGACCCCAGGATTCGCGAGTCCCAGTCCTGGGGCCTTCCGGCTGTTGTACTCCACCATTGCAGCGTGAGCTCACAGTCACGTGGGGGATCGGCAGGCGACATTCCTGAAGCGGACTGGTTGCCAGGCCAAAGAGTGTGTGTGGCCCGTGAACGTGGGAGGAGCCTTGCGGGCTCCCCTCCGTGGGGCGGCTGTCACTTACCCCCCTCCTTGAGACGTGCACCCCAGCCTGCTGGCCCCAGCTTTCGTGGTGGAGACTTGGCCTGCGCACTCTTGGGCACTGGCGGCCCCCACATCGCCTGCACCCAGATCCGGTGACTGTTAGTTTCCTCGTAAACTTGCTTTGCCTCTCCCTTCCTGTTATTTGGACTATTTGTAAATTGAAGACATCATGTCATCTGTACCTCTAAATATTTCAACACACATCTCCTAAGATCAAGGACATTGTCCTCCAAGCGCAACGCCATTATCATGCTAAGAGAGAGTTCACAGTTCGCCAGCACGACCCGGCCCGGCAGGACCCCACTCTCCCTACTCCCCAGATTGCGTTAGGTTTTTCCCAGTTCCGTGGCCATGGATGTTGTTTTGTTTTTAAACCGAGATAGATGGCTTTTGTAACTTAGTTTCCCCTCCCTTCTCCCATCCTGGTACGGAAAGAGGCCAACTAGTTAGGAGAATGATCACTTGGCCTTTCATGCCCACGACCCCAGAGGCTTTACTTCACCTCGGCAGGGTTTTGCAAGTTGGGGGACGGGGGTGAAAAGAAGTTCCATGTTTTGTCACAGATGGACTTGTTTCCTCAATCAAAGGATTTCTTTCTTTGTGACTGGAAAAAGTCAACTGAGTGATGCTGTTCAGACACCAGACTGTTTGAATTTGGGGGGCCACAGGACAGGATTCTTTTTTTCATGTAAGTTCTCCTGTGTCCTTCCTCTCTCCTGGGCCATTCTGATGCTCAGCGGCCTGCATTTTGTCCACAGGTTCCCAGGGGCCTTCTCTCGAGTCTACAAGCAATGGCAGACACAGTGCCTCATCCCCCAACGCCCCGGACCCCGGGGGGCTGGCCAGGCCCGTCTCCCCAGACAGCCCGGAGATCATCAGTGAGCTCCAGCAGTACGCAGACGCAGCTGCTGCCCGCGGGTCCCGCCAGAGCTCGCCGAGCTCCGACGCCGCTCTGCCTGGCCCCCCGGCCCAGCTGGTGGACGGTGGCGCTGTGCCTGGGGCCGCCCTCGGGGCTGAGCCTCGACACGGGGGGCATTGCCTCAACAGTTCCCTCTTGGTGACCGGCCAGCCCTGTGGCGACAGGCACCCAGCGTTGGACTTCAGGGGCCACAAGCGGAAGTTGGTCACACCACCTGCTGCCCAGGAGTCAGCCCGCCGGCGGCCCCGGAAGAGCCACTTGCCAGCCCCCGTGCAGCCGTACGAACACGGGTATCCGGTTTCGGGCGGGTTCGCCATGCCACCCGTCTCCTTAAACCATAACCTCGCCCCGCCCTTCACCTCCCAGGCTGGGGAGAACTCGCTGTTCATGGGCAGTCCCCCCTCCTACTACCAGCTGTCCAATCTGCTGGCAGATGCCCGCCTGGTGTTTCCAGTGACTACTGACCCTCTGGTGCAAACAGGCCCCGTCAGCTCCTCCTCCACGGCTACCTCAGTCACTGCCAGCAACCCCTCCTTCATGCTCAACCCCTCTGTCCCAGGGATGCTGCCCAGCTACTCACTCCCGTTCTCACAGCCACTCCTGTCCGAGCCGAGGATGTTTGCGCCTTTTCCCTCCCCCGTCTTGCCCGGCAGCCTTTCACGGGGCATGTCCGTCTACCCGGGCTACGTGCCCTCCCATGCAGGCTGCCCAGCTGGCGGGCTCCTCCCATCCCAGGTGCCTCCGTTCGACTCTCAGGAGGTGGCCGAGGTGGGCTGCAGCTCCAACGATGACGAGGATAAGGATGACGATGTGATCGAGGTCACTGGGAAGTAGCTGCGAGCCCCCTCCACCTCGCTCGGGGCCCCGGCAGTTGCCCACCAGGCTGGAAGGCAGCGACCTGGGCTCTGAGACTAGGGCACTTGGCAGGAGGGAGAAGGCAGAGGACAGAGCAGGCGGTTGACCATAATGGCAGGGTTCGGTTGCAGTTGAACAGAAAAGGCCAGAAACCCCAGCGGAACAGCAATAGTGGGAAATCAGGGACCCCAACAGGACTGCAGGCCAGGCCGGCCTGCCTCCCCCGCCTGCCTTGCGTAGCCGCCCGCTGGCTTGCCCGCCGTCTGAGTGTAGGTGCTCACGTCCCACTTCTGTCTTTGGGCACATTCCCTCCCAAGAGACCTGCCTTACCGGGTGACTTCGCTTGGCCTGGGGAGGGGAGGGGAGGCGGGTGGAGGGTAAGGAAGGAGGGCGGGCAGGGAGAGCAGACCGAGATTCCGTGGGAAGTGGAGTCTTCTTAGGGGGTGGGAAAGACGCAGACCAGGTGTGTGTGCGCTTGTACTTGTGTGTGTTCATGTGTGTATGTGTGTGTATGGAACAGCGGGGGTGACGGCGGGAGGGGAGGGAGGGGAGGGAAGGACGGAGGGGGGAAACTGAAAATGAACTTACTGCTTTAAAAATGGAAATCAGAGTGTGGTGGTTCCTGGCAACTATTAGGACAAACGAACATTGGGGTAAGCCCAGGAGAGGAGCCATGGAAACCACCGGTTTCCTTCTGGCTGGGTGAGACGAGGCCTCGGTGACCCAAGGCCCAGGTTTCCAGAGCCACGTTAGTCGTTAGTCGCTGAGTTCAGGGGAAGTGGTGAGAGAAGGCGGGCATTAGCAGTCTCCACCCTCCCCCGCGGCTGTCCCGGAGCAGGTCTCCCTCCCCGCCTGCGAGTGGCAGACCCGGCGCCCAGAAAGACATTCTTAAGGATGGAGCTGAGCCCCCAGCTGCCTGTCCTGGTGGCCTTTCCTGTCCTTTCCTTCCCTGTTAGAGAGCGCCATGTTAATTTATTTCTTACGGGCAATTATTTATTATTTGGACTTTTCATGTTTCTTTTTTGGGGGGTGGGGGGAGGTCGGGGTAGGGAGTTAGGTAGGAGATGGGAAGGGCCGTTTAAGATAATCCCGACCCCCCTCCGCCGCTGGCGCCTAAACTCCCGTGGGCGGGGAGCTGACCGAGGAAGGAGCACTGGGCTTGACTAAGGCTTGCCCCATGCAGCCACAGTCTGGTGATGGCCTTTCAGGGAGGTCGGGGAGCCTGTGACTGCAGAGAGTGGGTGTGGGTGAGCGAGACTCGTGCTACAGCGCCTGGAGCTGGGGGTCACGGAGTTGGCTCTTGGGGAGTAAGTGACCCCAAGTTGGGAGCTGCGTCCTACGTTGACGACCTCAGAGGCAGGCGCTCTGTGCTGGGTGCAGGTGGCTGCCGCACTGGTGGGACAGACCACCGATTTCCTTTTGGGCCTGTCAGAGGGTCAGTGTGGACCTGGTGTCCGCCACCTTCGTCCTCTTCGAAGGAGCGTGGAGGAGCCCTTCCTCTGTAGGAGCCTTAAGTCTGGCTTTGTCTTAAAAGAGCATGTCGGTCATCCTGGGTCTAGCCTTTCTCGTTGCCAGCGCCCGGGGAGGGGGCACCGAGCCTCTAAGCATGAACACTGGCTGCCTCCCTCTGGTCTTCCCGGCCACTGAGACTTGGCAAGGCTCTTCTTGATGATGAACTGACTTTGTCTGTCTGGGGAGCTTTACCGCCTGCCTGTGGGCCCCGCCCTGGGCAGCTGCTGCCCCCGCCTGCCTCTTCCCAGCCCTGCGGGTGGCTTGGGCAAGTCGCTTCTCCTAGTAGCTGCCTCTTCAGCTCTTCCTACCAGCTCGTCACTGTTGGAGGCTTTACACACTCTGGGTGTTGGCCCCAGGGAAGAGACCAGGAGGTGGCCGAGGGGGCTGTGTGCGTGTGTGCATGTACCTGTTCGCCGTCCAATTACACCACAAGTGGGGCTTAGAGCGCTTTTTTTGTTTTCATAAGCACCCTGTCAGACTCTTAACTCTCATCTTCATAGAAGCCTTAGATCTACAATTTAGCTATGCAAATTATTTTAATAATTTAAAAATAGCAGTTCCAACCAGTGCTTTCTCTTTCAGATGCACCCCAAGACTGGATGGTGAAGGGACTCAGTTGGAGCAGGCCCGCGGGCTGGGGCTGGGGCTGTAGGAACGAGCTAGGCCGGGCCCCAGGTTGCGGAGCGCGCTCACCTTCTGGGCTACAGCTGACGCCCCCAAGGCCCCGGAGCATTGGCATCCCAGACGCGCTTGTGCTCTTATGCACATGTGGTTGGGGAAGGAGGGGTGTTTCTGTGTGCACCTCTAGACAATCACCGCAGCAGGCACTGAGAATCCAGAAACGACCCCAGCGTGGAGCTGAAACCAGTCCCAGGCGGGGTGGGCTTTTGAAGGAACCGGGACTGAATGGGCATCCTGAGGGCGGCACGCGCCTGCCCTCGGCCCAGCGCCGCCAGCGGCTGCGTCGGGCTTAGTGTGGGAGATGGACCTGGCTAGAGGAGACTTTCTGCCATACGTGCAGCTACGCTGTTCTGGCGAGGGGGTGGGACTGTGGAGAATTGGAATGCTAGCAGTTCCGTGGTTTGGTTTGGTTTGTTCTTTTAAGGAACGTGAAAACCCTTCCCTGACTTTTCTGTCTTTCTGGGTGCTGGTAGGCAGTGTGCGTGCACATCGAACGGGAGCGTGTACATGAGGGAAGCAGGGAGAGTCTCGGAACCCAAAACTGTGTCCTAAGCTCGTGGTCAGAAGCACTTGGTGGTGGCTTCCACCAGCCATGCAGGCCTGCATGAGGGAGGCCAGGAGATCAGGCCTGGGCATTGTCCTCACCCCATCCGCAGAACGTTTTCAAAGGCCTCTCAAGCTCCATCTGCCTGGTTTAGCCTAAATCCCCCGCCTAGGGAATATAGAACAAGCTAATAATTCAGGATTACCATTTGTAGTGATGTCTGATTTCCTTTTCTTAGTATCTGTGGATAAAATTAAACAGAGACGGAGTAGCCGCTTAAGTGAGGAAGTAAGTGAACCATGTTGGATCAGATCTGTTTCTTCCGATTGGATATTTGCTAATCCTCACCCTCTGGAGTTGTGCTTAGGCACCTGCCTGGGCATCTCCTGACTTAGGGTAACTCTTTCTGCTCCTGGAACTCTCTTCCCCAGGAATTAGTGTATGAAATTTGTATGTGGTGATTCACAACTAATGAAATTTCCCACTCCGGGGCCCGACGCAAAGCGAGGGTAAAGTTTTACTGATAGGTTGAAACATCAACCAAACGTAAGCCATCTGGGTGGGACTGTCACTTCCAAAGTTGTCAGCAGAGCAAACCTGGTGTCGCTCCGGAACCGAGTCCTCGCCCCGTGTGGAAGGTCTTCTGGGGGCTTTACATTCCTCGCTCCTGGAGCTCCTGGCCATGGCCCCTCGGCCCCCATTTCCCAGCCCCTGTGATTCCTCAGAAGGCCGTTCTGTCGCTTCTGAGCCCCGGCCCCTGCACACCCAGCCGCGTGGCTCTTCTCCCACCCAAACCCCTGAGAGGAGCTCCTGTGCCCAGTGGGCCCCCCAGGAGACCTCGGGCCCTCTGCCGACCATTCCCAGGGGACCCACGCCCAAGGCCTGCCTGAGGACGCTTTGCTCTCCGTCCGTCCCCCTCAGACTCTGTCCCCCTCCTGCAGATGCTTTGCTTCTGCCCTCTGTGTTCCACTGTCACCTCTTTGTGTCTGTCTGTGCCACTAGCTTGGCCCTGGGCCTTTTATGAACACCCACGTCTTACGATGAACTTCCTAAGCAGGCAGTGTCCAGCTTCCTTTGCTCTTCAGGGACCCGGGTCTGCCCCTTTCTCCTCTCGCAGGCCGTTCGATCTAGGAGCCCAGGGCACTGGGGAGGGGTGGCCAGGCAGGCAGCCGAGGCCGTGGGGCAGAGGCCGGGAGACTCGGGTACTCTCTGTTACCACTACTGGGGCGATCTTCCGAAGAGGGGGGCCTCATACTGTGACCTGATCCAGGACCCACCCCTGGAAGAGCGCTCAGCCCAGGTGTGTGTGTGTGTGTGAGTGTGTGTGCGTGCAGATGCACACGCCTGCTCATGTGCACGTGAGTGTAAACTTACTGTTGTCTGGTTGTGTTACTCAGGGTGGGCTGAGGACTCACCGGAAGAATCCCCGTAGCCTGCTCAAGACTGGTTTTTTTTCCCATTCCCTCTCCGGAGGGTCAGGGGAAGGGGGTCCAGGTGGGTGGAGGGGGTCGCAGTGGATAACCACTAAGGCCACGTCGCTGCCAGAAGGAGTAGGGGGAGGGGAGGTGGCCCCAGCGCCCTGGCGCCTGGCTTCGGTTTTCCGTCTTATTTCCTCAGGACGCCCCGAGGCCTGGGACCTGCGCCTGGCTTGGAGGAGCCCCTGGTGGCCGGTGCTCCAGCTGCTGGTGTGGCCAGGGCTTCCCTCCTCCCTCGGCAGGGCGGGTGCTCCTGCCCCAGAGTCTGGGCAACTGGCTGTTTCTATGACGTATTTATTTTTACTTGTGTTTCATGTCACTTTTTTAAAAAAGCAAACAGAACAATTGTAAGTCAGTATAACTGCCTATCAGTTTTCTTTATTTCTCTTTTTGTAAAATAAAATTTAAACTCAAGAAGGCAGTGTCGTTTGATCAAGGAATTGTGTGAAAGCTGGCTGGCCGTGAGGAAGGGGATGTGACTGAGCGCAGTGGGGCGGCGCGGGGGGAGGGGAACGGGGGGCAGGCCTGCGGGCTGGGCCTGGGGTGCCTTGGGGTTCGGCGGCCTGCGAGGGCTGCACTTCAGGCTCTAGAGGGACGCGTGAGCAGGCGCAGGGTGGCGTAGCCTCGCTGGTCCTCAGCCACGGGGCTGCCCTGGCTAGGCTGCCAGGGACTGGGTACTGGGTGCAGCAATGGGTACCCCCAGAGGGTGGGGGCGGCTGGCGGCAGGGTTTACAGAGCAGCTCATGCACACTGCACGTGCGTGTTCCCTTTGGCACCCAAGCTGGAGGACCTAATGGCTGCATCCTAGAGAGCTAACCAGGACTTTGGAACCTGAGGAGCTAGGAAAAGGAGGGGAGTGTCCACTCCTTGGGCCCATTAAGGGGTGCCCTGGGGAAACTTTCTCTGGACATTTACTAAAGGAGAATTAAAGAGCCTGTGGGGGTTCCCTGGACCGGGGTAAGCAAAGACCAAATCTGGGCTCGTGAGGGAGAGGGACGTGTGCTATTGGGGGAGAGGACTGGGGTTCGAGCTTGAGGGTGGGGGCAGTAGCTAGGGAAGCCGGTCTGCGCAGACGCTGGGGCCGGGAGACAAACGTACCCTGGCTGCTGCTGCCTCCTGGTGGCCAGCGGGGGCCTTGCAGAGACCCTCCCGGGGGCGGAGCCTGCTGGGGCGCGGGGAGCAGCCTGAGGTGCGCCAGGGAGGCTGCTGACTTGCAGCCCGGTCTCAGGCACACTCCTCTGACGACAGAGCGGCGCTGAAGCTGCTCAGGCACACACCCCGAGCTCGGCCGTAGGGCCCTGGAGTTCCCCGACCAGGCTAAAGGAAGTGAGCGGAGTGGACAAGACGAGGCGAGGGCAGCTCCAAACCCCGGTTTCCAGGGGGAAGTTTGTGAGCTTCTGAGAAGCAGAACTGACCCCGCAGAGCCTGCTGGCGGAGGCGGTCTCAGCCAGGGCCCATCCTCTCCTCGCCTCGCAGGAAACGCTTCCGAGTGCACAGCCCGCTTGCCTGGGGCACCCACAGGGTTTGGTCACGTGCTCGATGCTCACCAGCAAAAAACGCCCGACCCTGCCAGCCTACCCCCAAGGGCCTGCGAGGGCCGGCTGCTCCTTCAGCCCGTTTGTCCAGAGGTCTGGGCGGGCGTGGCCCCGTAGAGAAGGTTGCGGCATCCCTGTCCGTGCGGGAAACCTTGTGAAGCTGGGGGAAAGGAAGCCAGGAGCGCAGGAGCCCTTTGCTAGTGCAGTCTTGGGGTCCACAGTGAGATGACTGCCCTTCCAGGATCCAGCCGTGCTCCCTGCGGTGGGCGAGGGAAGGGCGGGGGACACCAACATGCCTCCGCTGCAAGATGGGGCCTCAGGAGGCCACGGGTTTGTCTCCGGCCCTGGAGGGTGCTTTGTGGTTTGTAGGTCCTCAGAAACAGGGGCTGAAGACTGGACCTGTCTTCGAGGGACTCGCTCGCACTTGACCTGGGAGTTACCTGCTCTACGCTCAGCTAGAGGCTCTGAGGGGGAGCCTACGCAGGGGTTCCCTGGCGAGCCCCGGGAGGGCGGGGCCTTGGTGTTATTTCCACAGTATCCTCAGCCCCGAGCACTGTCCCGCTGGCTGGCCGGCCGGCCAGCAGATTACCCCTGGGCTCTGGCGGGGGGGTGGAGTGCGGTGCAGTGTCGGAGGCAGGCAGCTGGCATCCGGCCTGTTCGGTGGTTGGATTTCCCCAGCTCCTTCCTGGAACCCAGGTTGGGCTTCAGTTTCCTCGGCTGTAAAACGGGAGCAAGCGGCCCTGCCTCAGTCCGTCGCGAAACCTCAGGGAGAGCAAGTGGCCGGACCACGGACCGCACAAGTGCCCGAGACTTCTGCAAACGCTCCCGTCTGGCGCCGGCTTCCCGGACCCCAGGCTGGCTCTTCCCCGCGGGCCGCCGGGCGGACTGCCCTCCACGCCAGGGCCGCGCAGTCCCGGTGCTCTCGCCAACCCAGATGCCAAGGGGTCCCCGGCGGCCCGGTAGTGGGTGGGAGGCAGGAAGGGGCCGGGTGGGCTCCTCCCCTGACAGCTCCGGTGGGGGGCGGGGAAATAGACGCACACTCGTTGCCGTAGAGACGGGGCAGGCCTCCGCCCTTCGGATCCCGCGCGCACGCGCCCACGACCTCGGCCACGTCCCGCCGCGAGAAGGGGCGGAGCGAGCGTGCGCGGCGGGCGCGGGGCGCGCGCAGGCTCCGCGAGCAAGCCGGGAGCCGCCTTCGTGCATCGGCGTCCGCGGCGGGTGGCTGCTGAGGTGAGGGACGGGCCGGAGGGAAGCGTTCCCGCCGGGACGGCCTCACGCGTGCCGAGCCCCGAGGGCCTCCGTCCGCCCCGGCGCAACTTCAGGGGCCCCGGCAGCCCAGGCCCCTATTTGCATCTCGACTCTCCCGCCACTTGCCCCGACCGGGTCCGAGGGCCTGAACCCTGGACGGCCCCACCACCCCCGGCCGCCCCCCACCTCGGCCGCGGATGCGGGGCACGTCCCGGGGCAGTTGAGCCAAAGGGGTCGGGTTTGGGGGGAGACGGAGACGGAGGCGGAGCCGGACCTTAACTCCGCCCCCGTCCCCTGAGGCTGCGCCTCGCCGCCTGCACTGCAAACTTTAGCGTCCCTAAGTTGCAGTTGTGGCTGAAAAGAAAGGGGCTGGGTGAACGGACGCGGCGCGCCGAGCAGGGGTGGAGCCCGAGCTGGGAGGCGGCGCCCCCTCCCCGCTGGAGCCCGCCGCGGGGCCCTTTAAGGGCCGGCCCGCTGCACGTGAGCGGCTCCAGGAAACCGGCGCGACAGCCGCCCTGACGCTCGCGGGGACCGACCGGAGGCGACCACCCCAGGGGCTCGAGAGGGGGCCCAGCGTGACCGCTGTCAGCGGCAGGGACTGTTTTGGGCCAGGAGTGGTGCCTGGAGCTCCCCAGGCTCAGGGCTGAAGAGCCGGCTTGGTGAGGCCGAGTGTGGCTCCTGGTTTCCCCAAGGGGGCGGGCGTGCCTTTGTGATGACAGGGAGTTCTTCTAGAGGCCTGGGGGGCCACGGGCCCGGCTCAGTGATGGTTTTCTTTTTGCCCCCAGCGCTGGAGCGCTTGGAGCACCTACTCCCTGCCACGTTGGACGCCATGAGTTGCTAAAAGTGAGCGTGGCTTCTCAGGTGAGCTTCCCCAGCCCTCCTCCTTCGCTCTTTGTTGAGGATGGGGAAGCTCTGGGTCCCCACCTGTATTTCCCCCGCTTTTCTGAGACTTCAGGATATGAAACTAAGAGAAAGGTGGAAGCGAAGTTTCTTTGAGGGGCCAGGGAGTGTGGAGTCCAGAGGGCAGGTCACACCCGAGGCAGATGAGAGCTGAACTCCCAGAGCTTCTAGCTGGGGGCTTTGGCTTCAGAGATCCCCAATGTGGGTGCAAGGCATTGGCTTTTCTGGAAACCCTGTTACGAGGGAGGGGACAGAGAGTGGAAAGGGGACTTGGGATCCCACTGACTGGGTTCCATTTGCCTGCATGTTGGTCTGTGTCTGCTCAGTACCTGCGCGGCCTTGGGCCGGACTCTCAACGTCTAACCACTTGTGTGCCCGGCCTGCATCTATCTACCTGGCCCTGAGGATGAGTGAAGTAGCTGTGTTTCAACAGTTAGACAACGCGTGGCACATAGTGAGAGATCCATCATTGTCATCGTGGTAGAAGAAAATAGGAGTGAAACTTAAAACCCGAGGCAGGGAATGCTTCCAAATAGGGGCGCTGCTGCGGGGGCAGGAACGCAGTGGGGGGGCCCTGGTGGAGGTGCCTCAGTGTCCTGACTGCGCTGTGTGTACCTTGACTCCAAAGGCAGCATTTCGGCAAAAAACTCTGACACAGAACCCACAGGAAACAAGTGGCTCCGTAGAGCAAAGTTTGCCGTAGGGCTGAAGTGTTGATGTTCAGCTCCCAAAACTTTGAAATTTTTAGTATTTGGGGTCTCATGCTTCCCTTCTTCTTTAGACAGGTGTCCCTGCGCCGCAACATCGTTTTCCCGCGGGCCCCTCAGCTCCAGGCCTCTGCCCCAGGCTCTGCCCCGAAGGGCGCACCCGCCAGCCCCTGTCCCATGCTGTGTCCCTGGGCCTGTTCCTGGATAGTTTCTTTGCTGCTTCCTCCCCACCCCCGCCCCCCGAAATGCATGTCTTTATATTCCCTGTACTGTATGAGTAAGAGGAATGGGGAAGGCCCGGAGTGGGGTGGGGAAGGCTTGTGAGATAAATGACATACACACAAAACGGAAAAAGGAGGCCTTTCTGTGAACGGCCTGGTCCAGGAGGTGGGGTGAGGAGATCAAAACCAGGACAATTAAATTCTAAACACCTGGAGGTGTTGGGGTGGGAAGGGACAGGGCAGCAGGTGGACCCCAGGTGCGGTCGCCCCATCCAGGCCAGCACCCCTGCCTTAGGGGAGGAAGCACTCAGGCCTGGGATGAGTAACTAACCCCCCCCCCCACCCCGTTGTGTTTCCGCTTCTAGCAGCCTTTTCCTCCTCCTCGCTGTTTCCAATCAATGGGCTAAGAGTGGGATGAAGCGGCTCCAGCCTGGGAAGTGTAGCGCTGGGCTTTGCTCTCCTTTTGGTCTGGTCTCCTCTGGTTCTGGATGGGCGAGCTTGCTGGATAGCAGAGTCCCTCGGCCACGTGTGCTTAGCCCAGGAGAGTTTCCTATGAGCCTCTTCCTGCAGCACATCCCCCCCTTGGGTGTTGGTCCTCGTAGTTTCTCTGTGTGTCAGTGATTGTTTGCACCCTGGCACGCGCTTGCCCCCTGCCGATCAGTGGCCCTCGAGGCTTGGGGAGGCTGGGCAGGCGTGTGGCCGTGGGAAGGAAGAGGCATGTGTGGGGAGGCAGGCAGGCTGCCAGTGGGTCCGTCCCGGTGGGAGCTGGTCCGGGCTGGGACTGCGTCCCTGGCTGACTCACTCTTGTGCCCTCTATGACTCAGTTTCCCGAGGTGGGACCACGGCTGCCAGCTGACCGGCAGAGCAGCCCTGAGAGCCTCGGTGATTGTGGTTAAGAAATAAGGAGGCTTGTGGCTTCAGTCATCCTTTGTAGCTCCCTTCTAGGTCACTCTGTGTGTAAACACCTCTGGCCACTCCTCCTGGGTCAGAGCACCCAAGGCAGGGCTGAGGCTGGGCCAGAACTGGCTGGCGGGCAGGTGGGCACCTTGGTCTGGGCAAGCTACCAGCCTCCTGTCTCTTCTGTCTCCGCAGCTGCCGTGGGGCGCGGCGCCGGGGGCGCAGAGCCATGTCAGACCTGCTGCTTCTGGGCCTCATTGGAGGCCTGACTCTGCTGCTGCTGCTGACGCTGCTGGCCTTTGCCGGGCACTCGGGGCTGCTGGCTGGGGTGGCGGTGAGCGCCGGCGCGCCCCCAATCCGCAACGTCACGGTGGCCTACAAGTTCCACGTGGGACCCTACAGTGAGACAGGGCGGCTCTTCACGGAGAGCTACAGCGTCTGCCCCAGGCTGCGCTCCATCGCCGTCTACTATGACAACCCTCACCTGGTAAGGAGACTTCTGTGCCCTGGCTGGACGCCTGCCCCGCGGACAGACCTGCACAGGGCTTGCTGGGGGAGGGGCGTTTGGGTGTCTAAGGAAGCGGTGGGAAAACCTGCGCCCGGCCTGTGCAGCACCGCCTCTGGGCTCTGAGCTCTCTCCGGACGCAGCCTGGACCTCCGTTCCCTTCTGGGCATGTGTGCTGGTTTTCTTCTCGCCCGGGTCTGGTTCCCCTGGCTCAGGGCCACCCCTGGGCCTCTGGGTGCGAGGGCCCATACTGCTGCGAATGCCTGCGGCCTCTGCCCGGGCTGTGGTCCCCTGCCTTCTCCTCTCGTCGTCCCCCCTTCTCCATCCCCACTTGAGGCCAGAGCTCTGAGGCCAGGCCTCCAGACCCTGCCCTGTGTTTGGGGTCACAGCACATTATCTCGGTGCCTCCTTGTCAGCGCTCCCCAGTGGTGGCCAGGGCCGAGGACGCGGGCCCTGGGCATGAGACCCGGAGTCCCAGGCCCCTGACCACTCTGGTGACCCATGGTTCAGTGATCAGGTGTCGCCTTGGACGTCAGGCTGCCCGGTGTGGAGGCAGCCTGGGAAGGCAAGTGGGGCTGAGAGGGCGGCCCAGAATGTTGGAGAGGCTGGGGGCAGGGCCCTGCCCAGCACCACGGGCACCCTGGGGGCATCTGGCTGGACTCACAGCCTGTCATGAGTCAGGGCTTGCCAATGCGGCCTCTGGTCGTGCCATGGGTGGCGCTGCCCAGAGCCTCGTGGGCTGGTGGCCCTGCGTAGGACTCTACAGCCTCCAGCCCCGCGCCTTGGTGCACCAGGCATTTGGATCCCCAGCCCTGGTTTCCTCGGATGGAGAGCTCACGTGGGCAAGGCCTCCGGCCTCCAGCTGTCTCCTGACCAGGCCTCCCCGGGGCGCCGAGTGGAAATGGGTGCGCCACTGCCACTCTCGGCTGGGTGCTGCTTGACACCTGCGCTCAGGGAGGAACGCGGGGGCCCCGCCCTCAGGAAGCTCCCTGTGGTTGGCAAGTCAGCCCCACGCAGACAGATCTCCCGCAGGGCGCTGCGCCCAGTGCCCACAGAGCCTTGATGGGGGGGGAGGGGGCGTGCCGCAAGCCTGCTGGGGAGGCTCCGGGGCAGGTTTCAGCGGGGCCTTCTGCTTCGAGCAGAATTTCTCTGTGCCTGGCAGGGCCTCCTGGCTAAGGGAGCTGCAACTGCCAAAGCCTGCGGGCAGAAAATGTTGGGGGAAGTGTGGCCAGGGGACCTTCGGTGGGCGGAGAAAGAGGTTGCAGGGCTCCTGTGGCCGGGCAGTGGGCGGGACGGCAGGTCGGGAGGAAGGGCGCAGCACAGTTTGCCACCTGCTGTTTAGGAAGCTACCTGGACAGCAGGTGGCGGAGGGAAGGAGATGAGGCAGAGAGGCCGTTGAGGGTGGTGGGGTGGGCCCTGTGAGAGATGATGTCGCCTGGCTGAGGCGTAGCAGGCATTGAGGTTTCGAGGTCACGGGGCTGGGAGACAGCACTAAGCGAGGGGTCAAAAGCCCTGGGCCCCCGGTGAGATGGGCAGGCCAGTGGGAAGCTCCTGGACCCGACGCCTGCTGGGGGTGTCTTGTGTAAGTCCCCTGGAAGGCCTCAGCGCGAGGGAGGTGCAGCTTGGGACCATGGCCTGGGCGCACAGCCTCGAGGCCAGCGTTTCCCCGGTTCTGTCTCCACTGTCCTGCTGTGTGATTTTGGGCACATTCATTACCTAACTGCTTTAAGCCGCCATTTCCTTGTCTGCAGAGTAGCGTTAACATGCCTGCTTCACTGGTAGGCTGGCAAGGGTTAAATTAAGTGCCACGGGTGAGACCCGCACCACACACCTGGCCCCCCATGGAAACATAACAGCCACAACAAAAAGGGGTGGAAAAGTCCCTCGTGCTGCTGAGGTGGCTGACGGGTGTGGCAGAGGACGCGTGACCTGGGCCCAAACCCAGGGCCTGACTGGACATTTGGCCACACACAGATGGCTGTCTAGGTAAAAGTGGCCCCTGTGATCCTGTCCCTCCTGGTTCTGGGTCACTGCAGAAGACACCTGTGTCCCCATTCAGAGTTGGGGCACACCCTGACCCCAGGTGTGTCAGGGATGCTCAGGGCCCGCCCACGCTGGTAGCTGGCCAGCACCCTCTGTGATCAGCCCTCCCGGTGATCACGGCCGTCCGCGAGGGCCCCAGGGGTGCACCGCCGACGCTCTGGAGGAGGGGATGGCAGGTCAGACAGCAGGGGCCAGGGTCCCCATCGCACACAGTTCACGTGTGCTTTTTTGTTTTTGTCCAGTAAATACCTGTGCCCTCTGTGCTGGACACTGGGGCGCTGTGGGGACCCAGGGGCCCAGCCCTCAGACCTGAGCTCTCAGTATGGGGGCCCCAGGGGGCCTGGAGGAGGAGCCCCGTCCAGTCCTGAGGGGGCCAGGCCTGGTGCCCCTGAGGCCGCCGCCCCCCGCAGTGGCCAGCGTGGGGTGACACTGCGGTTCACAAAGGAAGGGAAGGGCCGTCGGATGAGCTGTTTGAGTGTCCCGCCCCACGCTCTCTCCCTCCCCGGCTCAGTGCAGTGGGAGTCAGAACCTGCTTCTTTGTGATTGTGGGGAGGGAGTGAGGCCCTTTCAGGCTCGGCCAGGACAGGGAGTGACCAGCTGAGAGGTGGCCACCTGCTGTGGATGCTGCCCGCCCCGTGAGCGTGGACTGCCTGCTCCCGGGCACGCCCCTCCCAGCCTCAGCCCCCAGCCTCAGCTGGCCGGGCGCGGCTGCCTCCTGAGAAACGCCTGGCGAGGCCTCTCCTGGGCCGGCCGCGGGCGCAGGAAGTGGCACAGGAAAGGGCGCCATCCAGGCGAGGTCATGGCGATGGCTGTGCACGCGTTCACACCAGAGGCTGCTTGAGCGTCCGTATCCTCGGGATGGGCGGGCGGGTGGGTGGGTGGGTGGGCGGGCGGGCAGGCAGGTTCAGGTACGTGTGTCAGTCAGTCTTGGAGTTCTGGATGGGAGGAGGCTGCGAGGTCTGAGTGAGTGGGCCTTATGGGGCAGGGGAGGATGCTCTTCTCCGTCCCTGGGGTGAGGGAGCAGGGCAGCGCATGGCAGGACGTGGGCAGACCCCGGTAGTGTCTCATAGGTGTCCCCCTCCTTCCTCGGCCCAGTGTTGGTGGAGCGTGGCCGTTTCCTCTTCTAAGTCCGAGGGCGGGAAGGGGTGAGTCCCAGAGCCAGTCACTGACCATCATCCCTCCTGCTGCCAGAGCGCGGGCATGCGCACGGGTCCAGTCCCGCCCTGTCCTTATGCAGCTGGCGAGGGGCCTCAAGTGCTGTGTGCTCAGCCCGGCTGGGCACCTCGGGGGTAGGGGAGCGAGGAGGAGCGGGGAGACCCTGAGTGCCTCGCTCAGCCCTGCCCCACGCTGGCCAGTGGACAAGCCCTCATGGCTGGGCTGCTGTTACTGTGCCCATGGGCCTGTCCCGTCTGCCAGCCTGGCCCTCCTCCTCCTGCCACGCCCTTTGCTGCCACCACCCCCAGTGATGCATTTGGGGCTTAAGCAATCGGCCTGCCCGCCCTTGTGGGGGCGCCCGGCCGAGGCACGTGGGCGGGGCGCCTGGCTCAGCACCTGGCGGGGCCCAGGAGGGCTGCCGTGGTGTGCTGTGGGCGGGGAGCTGCCGGAGCCTGGGCTCGGCCATGTGCGGCTAGGCTGCCACAGGAGCGCTTTTCTTCCCTAGTCCACTGCCGGGCGGCCTGGCGCCACCTGGGCTGCGGGGTGAGACTGGTAGGCCTGCTCAGGCCTGTCAGAGCCTTTGTCGGGGGTGGGGGGCCTGTGCCCCTTGGAGGCTGCGTAGGCGCCGAGGTCGCAGGGGGCCTGGGAAGCGGTGAGGGAGTAGGATTTCACAGGTTCCACCCAGCAGCAAGGGGAAGGGGGCTGGGCTGGGCTGGTGTTCCAGAGGCCCGGCTGTCCCCATCCCAGTTCCCCTTGGTGATCATCGCAGAGCGGGGGCGGGCCTCTGCCCCGCAGCGGGCTCACCATCGGGGGCAACCCTGGGAGGGCAAGCCCTCTGCCCAGCTGAGCTGCCTCCAGAAGGAGAAGGGAGGCCTGTGGGAGTGGACTTCGGGTTTAAGTCAAGGCTTCACTCAGTCTCTCTGAGAGTCCCTGTCTCGGGGCCTGTGGTTTTCAGGGGGACTGAACACTAAGGATGACGCCCAGTCCCCAGCCCCCCACAGACGTTTGGTGTTCTTGGAATCTGCTCCAGCCTCTGAGGGCCTTGTGCCCCCCTGGGACCTTGTACTTTTAGGAGCCATGCCCCTGGCCTAGTTCCCAGAAGGTCGCCCAGGACACAGGAGGCACAGCGTAGGGAGAAGGCCCTGTGCACCCATCCCTACCCTGGGCCTGTTTTTCAGGCTCCCAGTGGCTGTGGGTGGTTTGGCACAGGCCTGGAGCCAGTCTGCCTGGGTTCAAATCCTGACTCCTTCCCTGCCGTCCTCTGTGTCCTTTGCTGAGTTGCTTTGCTCTCTGGGTCTCAGAAGCCCAGTCAGTACCAGCATCTACTGCACAGTGCTGTTTGGGTAACAAGCCGATGCACGGAGGCCAGCAACGGGGGCGGGTGGTGAGCACCTTGTCAGGTACCAGCTGGTGTTAGGATGATGATGCTTGGGGGTGAAAAGAGGAAGACTTCTGGGTGGGAGCTTCCAGAAAGCACCCAGACCCCCCTTTGGAAGTGGGCATCCTGCTGACTCCCCACCCCCGGCCTGAAGTGCAGGGCCCTCTTCTCTGGCAGTGTCCGCGTTGCCCGGGCCCCGACGGCTAGCCTGCCCCAGTGGGCCTTTGCGCGCAAGCTGCTCCGGGAGGCAGGGCCTGTGGGCCTTGGAGTGTCGGCCTGCAGGACCCAGGAGGCCCAGGCAGCCCGCTCTTTGCCCTCCGGCCACAGGCAGGTGCAGCCGCCCTGCTCCCTGGGGTGCCTGCGCCAGCGACGGGCACCGCCCTGCCCTTCTGACCCTGCTCTGGGCTGGGCGGGCTGGCCAGGCACCGGTCAGGGCAGCCTTCTGGGCCTGGGGACGGTAGGCGGTGCCCTGTCCCTGCCAGGTCATGCAGGTTGTGGGCCTGGGGCCGCGCATGTCTGCCAGACCCAGGATCTGGCCTGGGCCTGAGCCAGCGGGGACACCATTTTTCCTTTCTGGTTCCTGGAAGACAGTCGATCTTGTCCACTTTCCAGATGCAGTGAGGTCTTGGCCAGGCAGGGACCCTCTCTTCACTGTGGCCACTCAGTGGGGTCAGCAGGGCACTGAGAGGCCTCTCCAGACGGGACAGTGGGGCCAGCGGGTGCCCGGCAGCTTTAGGTTCCAAGCAGGACCTCAGTGTGCGTGTCCCATCTCGCATACAGAGCTGGGACTCGGGAGGCCTCCGGGCTCCAGGGAGAGGCTCCCCCAGTGTAGCCACTTTGAGGGCAGACTTCGGGTGGGCCTGCCTGTGCCCCGAGTTGTGGAGGGCCACCGCTGCCCCATCTCCCTGGTGTGGTTCTTTTGGTGTGAGTGCTGGTTCCGCTCTTCCAGGGGCACAGGTAGCCAGAGAAATGACGGGGGAAGGGGAGCAGGCGGGTGGAACCGAGAGCCCAGGCTGACCCCCTAAGGTCAGGCCCCAACAAAGAGGTTGCATTAAACCCCGGGGCAGGGGGCAGGTTCTAGCCAGCAGAACGTCCCCGCCCCATACAGCCTCCGTGGGCCAGGGGCCTGGGCCTTCCCGTGCCCAGGCCAGCCTGGCTCAGGGCCTGTCTCATCTCCTTGCTGGTGCCTGGTTCAGCATCCTTCCAGGTCCAGCCTGGTGTGGGGCTGCTTAGCTGGAGGGGAGCTTGCTGAGCAGCCTCCTAGCCTGCCACTTTGTCACTGGCCAGGGCAGGGGAGGGCACGGGAAGTGTCCTTACTTGTGGACTTGAGGGGGTGCTCAGGCAGGAAGGGAGCTCCTGGGCCCAAACCCCCCAGGAGCCCCGTCCCCTTGTTAGCTGCCCTGCTGTCCTGGGATGGGGCGTCTCCCTCCTCACAGTGGGGGAGAGGAGGCTTGCGCACAGGGTGGGTTTGTGTGTGCACGTCTGCGCACGCGCGTCCTGTCGCCGAACACGCCGCAAGAACTTCCCGGGTGTGCGCCATCCAGGGCCTTTCTGCCAGAGGCCTGGAGTGGTGGGGAGAGAGGGAGGAGCCCCAGTTACAGTGCAGCCCCGGGCCTGCGCCCTCAGGCCTGTGGGATCGGAGAGACGAGGCTGCGGGGTGGGGAGCAACAGAAGGCTTTGAGGAGGAGGGTCGAGCTGAGTCTTACAGGATGGGCGGGAGTTTCCTGGGTGGAAGGGACGCCGGGCAGGGTGAGGAAGGACGTTCCAGGCAGAGGAAGCAGCGTAGGCAAAGGCGGGAAGCACGGCAGGGCAGGGCGTGTTTGGGGAGCGACACAGTGCCACGCGTGCCTGCGCGGGGGTGCGGTGGAAGAGGAGGCTGGCATGGTGGGCTGGGCCGGGGCCTGGCTCTGTCCCTCCCTCCGCCACTCAGGCACTCGGTGAGTTTGCCCCCGCTAGGGCCTGGGGTTGCAGAATCAGGGTGCCAGGCGAGTGCGCAGCCCATTCTGGGCAGCGTTGGAGGGGCCGCTGAAGACGGCCTTGCGTGCTGGGCTCAGGAGTCTCATCCTGGAGCTGAATTGGGAGCCGTGAGACTTCTGAGCAGGATTATCACAGATATCCTGGTGCCTTTTGGGGATGGAGGAGGATATCGAGCTTCTGAGTGATCCCAGAAAAGACCTTAGGACCCCAGTTCAGGTTGAGGGGAGAGGAAGTGACCTCCCATCCGTTTTGCCACGTAACCTGTGCTGTGCAGCCTAGGTTGCTATGGTCAGGAAGGTGAAGACGACTTTGCAGCTGGCCCTGGCCCTGCAAGAACCTTCTGCCTACTCACCCCCACCCCCCTCCCGCCTTTCACATGTGAGTGGGGCAGTGGCACCATCTAGAGACGTAAGGTGGAACTGCAGCACCTTTGCTGGGGCGAGTAGGAGGCGCGCTCCAGGCCAGAGAAGTGGGGGCGGCAAGGCCGACTTCCTGTGGGAAGGAGTTTACAGCACAGTGTGGGTGAGGGAGGTGGGGTGCCCCGAGCCAGCCTAAGGGACCGCCAAAGAGGGTGTTTGAACGTGGAGGACGGGCAAGGAGGAGCTACGTGTTCAGAGATTTGGGTGGATGGGCGTTCTAGCCCGAGTCACTTGCGTGGCCTGTATGAAAGCTGCTAGGAACCGACAGCATTTACAGAGCGTTTGCTGCCTGCTGGGCCTGGCGGAGGCCTCATGCAGAGTTTAACCCGACGGTACTGTAAGGTGTCAAGGAGCTCGGGCTCCGAGGAACCAAAGGACAGGTCCAGAACCACAGGACTCGGGAATCACGCCCAGGCCTGCCTCTTCCCAGTAGCCGTGGTCCTGACCGCTGCGCCATGTCGCCGGCCACTAAAGCCCTAGGCTAGGCTTTAATGACATGAGATTTTCATGGGGCAGCAAGGGGCCAGAGCCACAGGGCGCTGGGGTGACCCGCAGGGGCTGCATGGAGGTGAGCGCCTGGAGGCCGTGCCCAGGTGCCAGGGAAGGGAAGGCCAAGGACAGGGCTGGGTGGACCAGAGGGGAGATCAGGGCAGGGCTGGGGAGCCCCAGGGGGCTGTTGGTGGGCCTGTCGGTGGGGCTGACAGGGGCTAGAGGGATGGCGGAGGCGCGGACTGGCGCAAATGACTTTGCCCCGCTGGGAAGGCAGGCTGCGAAGAGGACAGCGGGAGTTGAAATTCAGGGTTCAGAAGTCCCTGTGTCCAGACGTGGAAGAAAGCCAGGGACTGGGGTCTGTGGCGGCTCTGACTCAGGAGCATGCGCCTCTGGGGGTTGCCATAGAACCGGGAGGCTGGAGGTGAGACCCCAGGGCCCCTTGCCGCTGGGAGGAGAAGCAAGGGCTGGGCCTAGGAGGAGTCGGGGACTCGCAGAGGCACCCTGGCTGCCTGGGCTTTGTGGGAGCTGGGGAGGGAGGGGAGCAGAGTGCAGTGCAGGTCCTGGGGCCGGGAGAGACCAGGAGGGGACCAGCAGGCTCTGGCTCAGCCAGGAAGGAGCAGGGCCCGGGTGGTGGCGGCCCTGCCTGGGGTGCGGGGAAGAGGACCTCTCTCAGTGTCCTCAGCAAGCCAGGGTTCGGCGCGACCTCGCTCTTGCGGCCCCAGCACAGGCAGCCTGGGGCCTGGCTTGCTTGGGGCGGGGGAGGGGGAAGGAAGGGACGGGGCCGTGGGGAGGCTCCGCCAAAGCAGCGGTTCTCCCTCCTGGTGTCTGCTGGTTCTGCCAGGCCCGAGCTGGCACAGAACCCCAGAGGCAGGGGGCTGGAGGGCCTCCTCCCTCTGCCCGACACAGACACCCCACTCTCCTTTGCAGGTGCCCCCTGAGAAGCGCCGCTGCGCGGTGGGCAGCATTCTGAGTGAAGGCGAGGAGTCACCCTGCCCTGAGCTCCTGCAGCTCTACCAGAAATTCGGCTTCAAGGTGTTCTCCTTCCCGGCACCCAGCCACGTGGTGACAGCCAGCTTCCCCTACACCACCGCCCTGTCCATCTGGCTGGCCGCCCGCCGGGTCAATCCTGCCCTGGACGCCTACATCAGGGTGAGCTGGGCAGTGTGTGTATGGCGGGGGGGTGGGAGGGTGCAGCCAGGGAGCACTCGGCAGGCTGGGACGGAGAGGTGGCATGGGGAGGCGCCACACGGGGCTCTCGCGGGGCCAGCGCTTGTGGGGCTAGGAGGACGGGCAGAGGCTGCCGGCATCCCTTCCAGAAGCCGAGACCCGAGCGTGGGCCTTGCGGGGGTTAATACAAGTACAGGGAGCGTGTTCCGAAACCTAGCCTGGGCAGTTCTGCTCCGGCTGGGACCAGAGACGCCCTTAGTGCCCCCGCTGCAGACTCAGGCCAACGGACAGGCCCACCCGTGCGCCTCGTGCTGGAGGCCTGCAGAGCAGGGGCCAGGCGCCAGCGGCGGGCAGGTCCCAGCGCCCCCGTGTCGGCCGCGGGCCTGCTCTGCACGGGGCCGCGCGCCTGGTCCCCGAGCCGGGACAGGGTGGCAACAGCGCGCCCGGCCCCTCGGCCCCCCGATGGCGTCTCCGTGCCGCTGAGGTGTTTTTTTTAACTTTCCCTGTTCAGCATCCCTCTTTCTCTAAAACATTTTGTGAACTCGGGTGCCGGGGCAGTGGCCCGGTTTGCGCCTGGACGTGATTTGCGCGGCCGCCCGTTCAGCTTGCGCGTCCTGAATGGCCGTGTGTTCGGTGCTGTGCTGGGCCGGGCGTGAGACGCCGATGCGCGCAGTAGGTGTTCGCAGTGAGCTGTGCAGACGGAGTCAGCGCCAGGCGAGAACGCGGCGCGTGCTAGGAGAGACCAGGGTGCACCGAGGCCCGGGCCGGCCTCTCGGAGGCGGGAGCGCCTGCTCAGGCAGGCCCCGGAAGAGCCCCCGAGAGGGGCGAGGGGCAGCGCAGGGGGCAGCGTGGGTTTGGTCCAAGGCGGCGGGAAGCCACCGCGGTGTTTCAGCAGGGAGGGTGACGGGGTCTGAGCTGTGCCTGTACCGGACAGGCTGTCCCGGCCCTGGGCGGGGGCTGGTCGCAGGCCCCGGGGGCTGCCGTGAGTCCTGGTGCGGATGGGCTCAGGCTGGGACCGTGGCTGTGGAGAGGCAGCAAGGGTGGAGAGTGACCGTCTCTTTGCGTGTGGGGGGAAACAGAAGGACCGTGGGCGGCCTGGGTGTTGGCAGGGGGGCGTGGGCGGAGTCCCAGGCTTTGGTCCCTGCGGCCTGGGCGGAGGGGCGCCTGTGCTGTGGGGCTGTGCCCGGAGTTTGGAGAGCTGGTGGGGGCCTGGTTGGGGGGCAGCCCGCGCTGTGGGCTGTGTCAGGGGTGTGGAGTGTGGAATTCAGAAAGGGCTGGGCTGGGGGATGTGCTTGGGCCCAGGAACCTGCAGGCACACTTGCCCCGGGGATGCCCTGTGGCCGCGCAGGCTGCGCGGAGGGTGCGGGCAGCGTGGCCGGTCCGGCCTGGAAGGAAGTCGCTGGGAGTGTGAACTCAGCGCATGGGTAGGGACCTAGCGGCTTTGTTCTTTCTTCCTGAGCAACTTGGGCAGAAGGACGGGGCCTTGGTGATGGACATGGGAGCCCATAGAAGCCCTGGCTCAGAGGGCGCAAGAGTCTGGCGTCAGGGCCGGGCACGAGTAAGTGGGGCCCTGGGTTGCCTCCACGGCCCTGGTGGTCAAGGTCAGGAAGGGAAGCAGCAGGAGGGCGGTGGTGTGGTCGGGCAGGGGCACGGGGAAGGCAGAGGTCGGGTTCTCTGGGAGCCAGAGGGCGGCAGCCAGAAGGACGCCCCAGGGTGTGGGTGTCTTGGCAAGGCGGGGGGGTGGTGCTGAGGCGCAGGGGGCCAGCTGGTCGTGAGGGCACAGAGGGAGGCCTCGGTGCGGGGTCCTCGCCCCGGGAAGGACCGGGCTGTGACGTCCCACTCAGTGTGTCGTCCTCCACCAGAGGGCCCGTCCCGAGGGGCGCCCCCGGGAAGAGCCTTTCTGGGCTCCTCCGAACAGCGTGCGTGCCATGTGGTGTGGTGGCGAGCAGCTCAGCCCCCAAAGCCTTTTCGGGCTCCAGGGTGTCTATTTTTAGATACCTTTGTCCAAATTTCCTGGCCCCTGACAGCTTCACAAGTGGCCTGGTTTTGACGTCACCTCTTTGATGGAAGCCCTTCCTCCCCCTCCTCCTCCCACCCCCCCTCCCGTGGGAGCTGTCAGCTGTGCGCTGGGCCTGACTCTCCTGGGGCGGGGGCGGGGAGTGCCGTCCTCTTTCCTGGCCTGAGACGGGGTGGCCAGGCGCAGCCAGGAGAGACACCGGGCTGCCCACAGTGAGGTGTGGCCCTGATGTTCCGCTGGGCACTGGAGGCAGGGGTCTCTCAGCCCCTGTGTTTAGCCTGACCTGGCACCTTGGGGAACAAAGCCAGGTGACGCATGAGGAGGGGGCTGGCTCTGATTTTGGTCTCAGCCTACAGTGGGCAGAAGCCGGTTCTGTGCCTCTCAGCCCAGGCGACAGAGGGAAGAGCCTGGAAGCCTCCCTCTCACCACTGCCCCCGGCCCCGCAGCCCCGGAACCTGGGAGAGGGAGCTGCTAACAAGGCCCTGGGCTCCTCTGACCCTCCGGCCCGACAGCCAGCTGCCTGCAGCCGCGCCCACGTGCGCACACGTGTGAACGCGCACGCCCCTCTTTTCCTCCGCCTCTGGCTCCTCTCTGGCTCTGAGGCAGGCTCTGCTGCAGAGGGGCTGCGCAGACGGTGACCGCAGCCTTGGCTTCCTGCCTCAGGAGGGGGAGGGGTGGCGGGGAATGGTCTTGGGGAGCTCTGCACGTTGCAGCTGGGCCTGAGCCCGGGGCAGGATTGGTCTCGAGGGACAGCGAGGGTCTTAGGGGTCACTGTGAGAAACCCAAAGAGAACCATCTGTCACACCCCTGTGGGGGTTCGGGAAGGGTGGCTGGACCCCAGCTGTGCGGTCTGTGCCGCAGCCCCCGGCCCCAGTGCCAGCCCAGAGCAATAGGAAAGGCCCCCGAGTTCACCGTAGGGCGGGGCCGGTCCTACCGGGAAGGTCGGGCACACGAAGCAGCGAGGCCTGAGCGGGTGGCCGGGGACCCCTTGTGTGGGACGCTGTGGGGGTGGCCACTGGGCTCTGCGCCGGCCTGGGTCCATCTGTGGCGGCTGTCGGGGGAGGGCGTGGTGTGAGGCCGGCGGCCAAGCCCCGCGGCGCCCGACTTCCTGGCAGCGGGACTGTCGTCTTCTCTGTGAACCCCTTCCCCAGGGCCTCTGCCTTCCGGGAGTTTTCAGGTGGGGGGCCCTGGTGACAGCTGGGCACCTTCTCCTGAGCCTGGGGGGCGCCTTGTGCGAGTGGAGGCTGGTTGGCTGGGAAGCGCTGGCAGGCCCTGGAGTCAGACGTACATTGGCTCTGCCTCCGCAAAACTGGAGGGGGCGGGGGAGGGCGGTGTAGTACGCCAGCAGGCAGCTCCCGTTTGCCGTCTTTGCACATTAGGTGTTCAGTTGAGCAAAATGCCGCTTACCCGACACCTCCAACGTGCTCCACTTTGCTAAGTACTTCCTATGCCTCGTCCCAGTTCTTCATGGCGCCCAACGAGATGGTCAAAAAATGCCAAGTGAATAACAAGGGGTCAGCCTGTGAGGGGTTGAAAGGGGCCAGGGGGCCCAGGCCCTGGTTCCCTGCCGCTCTAAGCAGGAGCCCAGGAGCTGTGTTAAGGTGGCCCCTTGGCTAGAAGCCAGGGATGAAGGGCTGCACTAGGGCCGTGACCTGGCTTCAGCCGCAGTGGCGCTGCCTCTGGGCGTCACCAGCCAGGTGGCCTCCGAGCTTCTATGTGGAGGAGGAAACGGCTGCCCTGAGCTGCCAGGAGGGCCTCCCGGTTGGAAGACAAGGCTTGGAACCCTCCCCGACCAGCTCAGCGAAGGTGACAGACACGGGGCGGGGTGGGGGGGTGGCCCCGACTTTGCATCCCACTGGGGCGTCCTCACCTGGACTCCCACCGCCAAGGCCCTGGCACCGTGGTCTGGGGACAGTGGCCGGTGCCAGGCGCAGAGGCGGGAAGAGCCCGGCTGCCTGTGTGCCCCGCAAGCGCCCGTCAGGGCACAGAGCCAGCGGCTTCAGGTGCCCCCCTGGGCCTCCTGTCCTGGCCCAGAGCGAGGGGGCAGCTGCATTCCCAGGTCCCCGCACTGGGGCTCCAGGGCCAGCTCGCCCACCAGCCTGCCCCAGCCCAGGGAGGAGGCCTCCTCAGCAGCGCCAGGGCTTGGCACTGAGTGACAGCTCCCAGGGCTCTTTCGCTGTTGAATCCCCCGCCACGGGGCTCAGCCACGCCTGGGCTGGGGGTAGGGAAGGACGGGGATGGCCTCACTGGGGAAGGCAAAGTGGCCCTGGGCGCGGGGGTGGCATTGGAGCTGTGCTTGAAGGATGGGCAGCCTCCAGGTGGGAGGGCAGGGCAGGTCCCGTGTGTCCACCCCGGCCCAGCGCAGGGCAGGAGCAGGAGTGTGGGCCCAAGAGGTAAGGCTGCCTCAGGCCGGCTCTCGGGCGCCCCTGGCAAAGCCTGAGCACATGAGTGACAGGTCTGGGCTGGGCTTTGGAACGGGCCTGAGCACAGGGACGGAGGAGAGGGAGCCAGAGGCCACAGCCGAACTCCGAACAAGGGGAACAGGTGGCCGAGCGTAGCAGTGCCTCTCTGCTCCCAGATACCCCGAGCTAAGAGGGGGCCCCTCCTCCCGCCGTGCCCCTGCAGGTGGAGATGTAAGGCCACCCACGGGAGGCCAGGCCTCGCCACCCCACCATCCTGGGCCCTGGAACCTGCTCCTCAGCCTCTCTGGCTTCACGCCTCCCCACCCCCCTGCACCAGGACTGAGAGCACAAAGCCAGCCTTTGCTGGGGCGGGCGTGGGCGCCACTGCTCTCGAAATACCAGCTCGGATGTGGTAGCTTGGCAGCCCTGCAGGACCCCGGGGGCCGAGGCTTTTCTGGGTGCTCCTGTGGGGCTGGGCCGCCACCAATCCAGAGGGAGCCTCCCCCCCGCCCCCCACCCCCACTGGCAGATGGGACTCACCCAGGGAAGATTCTGTTGCTCTT